TACACATACCACAGCATGTTTTAAGTAAAATCCCATGATAGCTGGGATCTACTGGAATACACCCCAAAAGAACAAAGTCTCAGGTCAGCACGGGGAGGGGGACACATGAAATAAACTTGGACAAAAGCTGATAATCGTTGAAATCGAGTAATATGGACGTGAGTTTATTACTCTCTCTCCGCTTATATGGATGCTTGGGTTTCCCAAATAAAACATTAAAAGAAAATACAACTGAACAAGGGGATCTCAGGATGGAAATCAAGGATGATGCGTGGCTCTGAACTCTGGTCCCACGGGGTGCTCTGTGCCTCTTTCAGCGTAAGGTTGCACTGTCTGGTATTTGCTGCTCAGTCTGCCCGTTGAAGCGCGGTGTATGGACAAGCCTTGGCACATGTAGAAGTCCCATTTCCACAGAATGGACACCGGTGCTCTTGGCACATGGTTTACAACCTCAGAGGGGAGGGCATTTCTTTTCCCACTAAAGGCAGCCCAGCTCCTCCTGCCACCTGGGAAACAGAAGATGGAGCTGGAGTGAGGGGAGTGTTCCATGTCCAGTTGAGGACAAGCAGAGTCAAGCTTCGTGGTTGACAGAATGAAACAGGAATGCCCAGCAGCCAGTTTCTACACAAGACACGGGGGCTTGGGGCTCATGTCTGGGCAGGAAACCAGGGGCTCCACCCACTTAAAAGAGGAGAGATGGCATTGACCGATTTGTATGTTTGTTTACTATGAGTAGTCTTGCCCTGGCCCTATTTCTAAGTGGTTAGAGCATCGGCCCATGTACTGCAGGGTTTTGGGTTCAATCCCAGGCCCATGTGGAATGTAACTACAGAAATGGGCAAAACCACATCTCCAAGCCTTTAAGTGGAATGTAACTACAGAAATGGGCAAAACCACATCTCCAAGGTAACCATTTCCAGCTAATTTCAGAACCTTTCGCCTTTAAGTTCGGGGCACTTGTGAGAGGCAACAAATCAATGTGTCACTCTCACATTGATGTTTCTCTCTCTCTCTCTTCCTCCTCCTCTCTTTCTCCCTTCCACTCTCTATAAAAATCAGTGGAAAAAATATCCTCAGGTGAGGATTAACAACAATATATATATATATATATATATATATATATATATATATATGCTTATTACTAGTCTCTCTGAGTCCCCTGAGATCTGTGGCGGTTTTCTTTTTTATTCAGTTTTGCCTAGGGTCCAACTCATTGCAAGAACTGCGCACATGTTTGCTGAAGGAAAGTGCAATGGAAGATGGACAATATGATCATTAACACTCTGCCCAGTCCCGCTGTTCAGGTTCACTCTGATTCTCTTCCTCCCTCTCTGACCTTCCCTAGAAGGGGTAATGTATAACTCAGCAAACAATAGTGTATTCTGATGGTTAAGAATATAACAATTTACTTAATATTTGTTTCTTCAATAATGCCAATCTCATTTACCCAGGAGAGCAGTTTTTCATTTCTGTTCCAAGTTTCTCCCAAAAAAAGAGATCAATCCTGCAAGTACCTGAAGGCCATTGGTTAAACAAGGATGTGGGTTTGTAATAGACATAATACTGTGATCATCATGTTTTAAACACAGACATTTATTTAGGGTTTTGTGAACTCATACATTATTAGGATAAATTCTAATTTATATCAGTATATAATAAGCAAATATAGAATACAATAAATTGCATTTGTGTACATAAATACAAACTTTGAGGTAGGGCCTCAAGAATAATGACTTCTTAAATGAATAATACACAGTATCTAATATGTACTCTATAAGATATATATATATGGTGCATCATTTGTAACATAATATATTTTCTTCATGTACAGTTAATGAAAAAATAGAAGGACCTGATTAGCGAACATATCTTTATTCATAGGCAACAGTACTACATTTAGGACTTTAGCCAAGTATGCAATTTAAGAATAAACCTATTCCGTGATAGGTCCATAATAAAGTGCAAAGAAAGACCCCAAAAAAATGAGAGACAAAACAGCTCCTAGTCAATTAGTAAGTATCATCCTAACAATAAAATACACCTCTAAGGCAAATGGTTACCTGAAGATGTATTTAATCCGGCAGGTAAATCAGACCACTGCCTGCTTTTCAGTCCATCTGAACACGTTTTCTCTTTGGCTGCAGGTTGCTCAGCCATGACCGAGCAGAGACCACCATTCAAAACTACTCGGCCTTCCTGTGCAACTGAAACAAAATCCGGGAAAGCTAGAAAGCTTCGCCTTCACTCATCCTAGGGCCACTTTGGGGAGAATTTAGTGCCAGGATTAAGTCACCCAAAGCTTTGCTCCCAGCCTGGAAGTTTTGCTCATTCATTGACCCTGAACTTCTTTCCTTGTAAGACAACCTGCCACACCGCATGCCCTCATGCACGGCATCTGCCATGAAGAAGTGTGTCCCAAATCCAAACCTGGGTGCGATGGCAGGGGTAGGATCTTGCCATCACGCGAACGTGAAGCAATAGTGAGTGCCCGAGTCTCTGGGAAGAGGACAACGGCTGAGGGCCAAGGGGACAAAAAGGAAGGAAAGTTCGCAGTTTCAGGCATGGGACAGCCATGCTGACGTGTGGAGGTTGTCAGGAAGCACTGAGGCACGTGTAGATAACAGGACAGATCTTAGAGGAAAACTCAACCCCAATGTGACATCAGCAGAGAGACTCCCCAAGTCTGGTCTCCATTTAACGCTCACTGTGTGAAATGTCTTCTTAAAGTGCTGCTCACTGGAATACACGTTGATTACATTCCTTACATATTAAAAACACATGGGAAATTTCAAAGACGTTGAGGTCATTATTTGCATTGACCACAGATTTCATGCAATAAATCAATAGGAAGGAAAAAGGAACAAAGGTCAGCTTGGACACATTGATACACGACAAACACATACCCCTAAGGACTATGTTACTAAGATGCTAGACAAGTATTTGCAGAAGTAGCCACAACACCAATAGTTAAGAAATATACATGTTTTTCTCCTTTAAGGATATTACAGGGTTACTGTTTTTAACATATGGCTTTTTTTTTTTTAACTCAGAATCAATTTCTGGCATTGGTTGGTGTTAGGAAATAATCTCATAGGTGGAAAACGCCCCACATTCTGCACAGCGAACCAATAATGTCTTTTCTCGGCAACTTGGCTTTCTCCTCGGTTTTCAGGGAAATTCTCGAGTGGTGGTTTACGGCAACGCTGTTCATTTTCCCTTTATTCAAGTTTTTTTTTTCTTCCAGCTGACTGTGCATTTTAACACAGCATGGAAACATCCCTCTGGTCGCATGCATCTCCCCGCCCTCAGCGTTCCAGCCAAGTCTGCTGGAAGGTAGGTGCGCCATGACGGGGTAGCTCAGACTCTGGACACATCTGGCAAAGAGAGCCTTTAAGTGGAGTGTAACTACAGAAATGGGCAAAACCACATCTCCAAGGTAACCATTTCCAGCTAATTTCAGAACCTTTCACCTTTAAGAAAAGTATATGTAAAACTTGGAAGTTGGAGGGAAAAGGGGGGAAAAAATCCAGCTGCTCTTACCATCAGAAAACAGGAAACAGAAACCCAGGCCACCAGGCCATACTATTCTAAATTTACCTTTTCTACAGGGATTCCCAAGATATTTTTAAGGAAATACCACTAGGGGTACACATTCTATGTGACCACATATCACATTTGAAAAGTTTCATCTACACATATTCAGGATACAAGAACTTAATGAAGTTACAATTTCACCAACCTCTGCAGACACTCGATTCATTCTCATCAGAGTGTGGTTATAAGTACTGTGAATTGGGAACTCTTAAGATTGAGTTATCTAAATGTAGTCTCAAACACTATACTTAATTGGCTCACTCACTACTTATCTAAACTGTATTTATCAGGAATTTCTGTAAGTACTGTGACCTAAAAGCACAGTGAATATCATGGTTGTTTTCTAGTAAACTCTTCATTTCCTTGATTTCTCTGTAACTACAATTGGAATTGACTGTGAGTGAAAAAGTTGAGAGTAAAAATTGAGAAGTTATCTGTCTTTTAAGAGTTTGTTTTTATATAGAGAAATTGTAGATAAACCAGGTTAAGTCTCATTGTCCCAGAGGCTGAGAGGCAAGGTATCTGCAGCTTATAGAAGGACACGTACAAAAGAAGAAACACTGGACCATGACATTGAACCATGGTGCTAAATGTCATGTAGAAACTGGAATGGAGCTCTACTATGAACGTACAAAATTAGGCACAAATTATAGAATGGCTTCTTGTGGAGGGATGAGGAGACTAAAGAATTCACAAATTGGAGTGTGTTTTTTTTTAAAGACATCAGCGGGAAGGGAACCAACTCTTTGTTGAGGTTCTTGTGCAGAGTGAAGTGTCTGCGTCCTCACACTCGAGACAGTTGTTCCACAAGAAGGAAACATCCCCAATTATGAATCAAAATAGGAATTTAACCATCTTGATGATGCCTAAACCCGCTGGCCTTGTCTTGCTCTAAAGCATGTCCTGACCACAGCTGATATTCCAAGTGTACCATGCCCTGGTCTTTCTGTGTCTGAATGAAAGCTCTATACTGTTCAGCTCAGCCCTACAACACCCAAAAGTCTGAGTTAACGGTCCTGTGATTCTGCCATTCGGTAGATGCCTTACGGGCACCACGGATAACACACAGCATATATTTTTCTGTTGGCCAGATCGTACATTCCTCCTTGTGACATCACCAGAAAACGCTCACCTAGCTGGTCCGCTCCTGTGGGGTAAAGCGCGTGCTCTTTGGACCAACCCTACTACCAACAGACACCATGGACACAGGTGAACAGCGCTTGAGGAGGTCCGTCTAGCTCTTCACTACAGCATGCGACACTAGGTCCTACGGAACCACTCTCATGCACAGATACGAACCAAGTGGGGAGAAAGAAGCAGCAAAATAGGAAGGAACCTGGGGAAACCAGTAAGGGGAGACAGAGAGGGGAAACAGGACAAAGTCTGGGCCATCTCATGCCATCAGACTAGCACTGGGTACCCAGTTCCAAGTCCTTCACAGGCATTTTGAATCCCAGGGAGGAGGTTCCCAAGGGGTCGATCATGTTCTTGTAACGCTCTCCACGGTGCTTAGCTAAGAATGGGCCCCAGTCCGGCTGCGGCGAACACACCAGCTTTAGCCTCTGCAAAGAAGCCAAAGACACACAGGGTCACAGAAATACTGCCCCTCCTTCCCCAAGGTACCAACCCGCACCCCAAACTGTGCAGCCACATTTTCCAGGTGCCCCTTGATCCAAACGTTTCCCCCCACCCCCAGGACAAGCAGGTGGAAATCAATTAACCAAGCCATGGACTCATTAAAGAGGAGAAGTCGTTTGGTTCACTTGAAGTTATTTACATCACCCTGCAAGCAATATTACAATTGCTCGGGATTTGCCTTGCACAAGATTAATAGAGGGAAAAGGACCCAGATTTTAATTACACATTTTTTTTTCTCTCCAAATGAACAGAACCCGCATACTTCTCCCGACATTGCCAAACACAATTTGCAAAGGACACATGTGCTCTATTACTTTGCTCTTTAGTTCCAACAGTGGGTTGCTACATCAAAATAATTGGATTTTGTTTAACATATTTCCCAAAAGTATATAAATGGCCGGGGGAAAAAATATCCCGACCTCAAAGATACATTGCCAAGAGTGAGCAGAGATTTTAATTATCTGTTGACAAAAATATATGCTTCTGACTTGGTTCAGCAGGGTTGGGCGCTGGCAGGCAAGCTGCAAATAATGGGGTCTCTCTAGACCTTCAACCGAACTTCTCACCGAAAACATAATCTCACGGAAACGTATTTTAGAAAGAGGAAAGAAAACATATTTCTCCCGACATAAGGGGGAAACAATTATATGTTTATTAACTATTAAAGTGAAGCTGCCTCTTACAACTGTTCATTTAATCTCTCCTTAATTATCCATTTGCAACCTCTGTGTCCCAAATCAGCCATAGTAAATTTATATAGCCAACTCATCAGTTCAGAGAATTTCAGTCTGACACAAAATAGTAGCGCTCCAACATGTTCTGTTCGGGGGGGGGGGGGGGGGGGGCGGGAGAGAGTTCTGCATCAGTGGTGGGAGGTTCATCAGGGAACCAGCAAGCTTCCTGAGGGGAGGAGGTCTCAGTAATAACCTCAGGGAACAACGAATACCATTTCCTGAGGATGGAAACCGGGGATCTGCCTGAGTAGGAAGACTCTGTCCCCTCCCTTCACCCACTCTACCTCCTCCTTTAGTCCAGTGAAAACCAAGGCTTCTTCTCGGCACATGGACACCTGGCTACACGTTTACTCACAGGCTTTATTCCCTTCTGGCTTCTCCCCTCCGCAGCCTGCATGGATATCCCGGAGACCGCTCTCTGGCCGACCCAGAGCAAAGCCTGGCCGACCCAGAGCAAAGCCTCGGCAGCTGCTCGGCACTGCCCTCTGTCTGCAGGTGTTTCTGCCTCTTGGTCTAACGCTAACCCCCTGGTTGGCAAACTGCGGCTTGCAAGCCACGTGCGGCTCTTTGGCCCCTTGAGTGTGGCTCTTCCACAACATACCACGGCCTGCCTGGGCAAGTCTATTTTGAAGAGGTGGCTTTAGAAGAAGTTTAAGTTTTAAAAATTTGGCTCTCAAAAGAAATTGCAGTCATTGTACTGTTGATATTTGGCTCTGCTGACTAATGAATTTGCCGACCACTGGTCTAATCCAATACCCCTCACCTGTGGGTGTGAATTAGAGTCACCTGGAGAGCTTGTTAAACTATAGACTCCAGGGTCCCACGTCCCCAGCGCTCTGGGTCAGTGGAGCCACGCTGGAGTCTCATCTTCTGCATCTTCAATGAGCTGGTACCTGTGCCAAACCCTGAGGAGCACAGGTCTGGTCCAAAATGCCAGGCCTCTGGATCTCCAAGACGGAGTCAGAGCTGCCCTATTCCCAGCACATCTGAGCAAGCGACTTGTCGTAAACAACAGGAGCCTGGCCACACTTTACTGGTGGCCCAACAAGTGGCAGTCAGCCCCCTTCCCTTCCACTCTGGAGTGAGCGTGTGGGGATTTTTATTTTTGTTTTGCATTGTAATTAAGAAGTAGGTTTAGCATGGGATTCACTGTCAAAGACAGGTCTCATCTCCGCCAGCCATGCTCTGGGCCTCTTGTTACATTCTATAGGATGGTGACACTTTAACTAGCCTGGACACTGACCATTCCTAACCCAGGCACAACGGAAGGGCAGTGTGTGTTAATTTAATGGTAACAGATGCTTGGAGGGAGGAGTCTTGGACAGAGGCGAGCATTGGGAAGGGGGAATCTGATGTGTGGTAAAAACCAAGCACTGGGCTTTAAACCACGGGTGAGAGGGGAGGAGGCACTTCCATCACTCATTCCCCTCAGCTGTCACTGCGCTGAGCAATAGCATAATAACAGCTCTGCCTGCGGATTGGCTCAGCGCCTCCATTAGAGGAATAATACATAATAAAAACGGGTGTAATAGAAATGCTGGCAACTGTAATCACTTAATCTCCAAGTCTCTCTCTAGAATCGGTTTGCAAATCTCTTGTTTCTAATGCCCAGGGCTCTCAGGGCTTCTCCCCTGAGAGGGGGAACCAGGGGAGAGCAGCGGACAGACTCACCTCAATAAACCGGCCAGGAGCCAGGTGCATTTTTATCACAAACATAATGGGGATCCAGATAACAGAACAGGCTAGCATCAGCCATCCGAGCACCATGGACCAGTTAGGGTAGCGATAAGAACCGTAGGTCATGGGCTCCCACTGGTAAAAGCTGAAGCAGAGGATAAACTAGGAGGAAAAAGAGAAACACAGGCATCAGGGTGGTGAGGCATCTGTTCATCCCACAGCCACATGTCAAACCCCTGCTCTGAGCTGGATGCTTATCTATCTATGAAGTCATATTATACCCATAACAACCCTGAAAGGGAGGTGTCAGTAATCCATTTTCCAAATGAAGAAACTGAGTCTCAGAGAAGTGACAAGGACACACCTAGCTACTGACCCTGGCTTTGGCCTCTCGTGTCTGGAGCATTGCACCTGCAGGAGTGGGCACAGACAGGCTGAGAAGACAAGTCCTGAGGACATATATACAGCGCGGTGGCTAGTGGGTGGAGGTGGGAGGGGCTGGGGGTGTTTTTAAGGGGTTGTCTATACTTCCAATGATGGGTCATCAGCTTCTGTTACAAGAAATAAACCTGTTAGGTTTATATATTTTATTTTTTTAACAATTTTATATTTACAAGAGGAGAGAGAGAGAAAGAGAAACATCAATGTGATGGAGAAACATTAATTGGTTGCCTCTGCACGTGCCCTGAGCAGGGATCCAATACACAATTAAACCTACAACCTGGGTATGTGTCCTGACAGGGAATCAAACCTGCCACCCTTTGGTGTATGGCAGTGTTTGCCAAAGTGTGGTATGCGTACACCCAGGGGTATGGGAAGAGTTTGGTGGGGGTACAAGTTGCACCAAAGTTTGGTGAGGATATGCACTGCACTGTCACTTAATTCTACGTTCTCATGAGTACGAGGGGTACTCAGCGTTACGAAAATTATAGAAGGGGTACACATATGTCAAAAGTTTGGGAAACACTGGTGTATGGAATGATGCCCCAACCAAGTCACACTGGTAGGACTGTATTTTAATTTTTAAAATGTGAATTGAATCACTACTTCTTCTTACTGAGGGGGCATGCCTGCATCTGGGAGCTGGCTATAAAGCTGGCTGAGGTCCTGAATGGTCCCCACGTGGTGCCTGAGCCAGAAGCCTGGCGCATTGATGAGCTGTGGGACAGAGAATGGATGCACAGCCTCCCTTTTGACTGGCTCAAGGTGAAGGGGACACGTCACTGAGTGGTGAGCTAAGAGCCAGGAGACCAAGAGGCTAATTTCAGCTCTCCCACTAATGAAGTGAGGGACCTGCTATAAAACGGACATATTTCACACCCTGCCTGCAGCATGGAGGTTCTCTGGGAAGGATAGCTTGGTATTTACTCTAGAGTTCCCCCTTGTTTTAAGAGTGGTCCTGATGTCTTTTCTGCCGACTATCTCCTACCACTGCATGCTTCAACTGGCAATGCCAGGGAGAACCCTCTGCAGACTGGTTAGTGCCGCTGAAAAGGAGCAAAGGGAGACGTGTGCTAAAAAAGGAAGCACGAAAAAGACAGAACAGGGGCCCCAGCTGCTCTGGCCACACCTCTGGGGACACTGCCCTGAGAAAAGCGTATTCTTCCCTGGATTCGTCCTGAATCAGCCTGGCGTCACATACATTATGGTGACTAAGTTCGTCCTTCCTCCCCACTTTCTTCTCTCTTAAGCAGTAACATAACTGTCCCAAAATGATTGGAGCAAATTATGTCAGGAAAAAAAAACAAAAACATATGGAAGTGTTTGGGGGATAGTGTGAATCTCTGCACAAATGTGAGGCATGTATATTATTGCTGCAAAGCCCAGGCTGTGAGGGCGAGCAAGTATTTCAATGCAATAATAACTCAATATATTTGTTTGAGGCAAAATGAGTCTGAAGAGAAGTACTGAAAATCACTGCTTTATGGAAAGAGATGCCGTACTCTGGGCCCCTTTTAAACATTTTCCCCTAGAGTTATAAGCTTTATTAACCCGTCTATTGGAAGCGCGGCCTAATGTATTTATGGTAAGTTGCTCCATTTCATTTACTATATAAACAGCAATACATCCGCTTATGTGTGCACATAATTCAGTGGCGTGATCTGACTATGTATACAATGATTGCATGGGAAGTATTTATAGCCCTATAAATCCAGGAAGGCATGTATAAAAATGACCATTTTATTTCAGGAGTTTTGAAGTAATTTAAACCCATAATCTTAGTTTGTCCCAGCACACCACAAGTATCCATTTTATAGAAGGGCAAAATGTAAGAAGTGTTAGGCTTGGTTCTTCGACACCCATTTCCAGTTGGACAAATATCATACCAAACGTATTAGCAACACACTCCCCTGTGTCGAGTCAGCTTTGATAAAACACTACCTAAGAGATGGTAATGTAGCCACCGAGTCTGGCCTGCCCTGAGCTTTTCTGGTATCACCCCGAGTGGGCCAGCAGAGGGCCCGTGGTTGGTGATGATGATGGCATTGACCACTTCTGCTTGCCTGTCCTTCCCAGAAGGGAACTCTGGTTAGGGATATTTTCTGGGACCTCTCCACAGGTCTCTGACAGGATTCTTATAATGGAAATTAAGTAAAGCACAGCATAGTTAAGGGACTTTCAAAAAACATAGCAAGTTCCTAGAATTCCTTTTCCCTAACAGTCTGCTCACACACACAAAAAAAAGATGTTTTTAATCCCAAACTGGGATTAAAAATCTGAAAAGCACTGGGTGTTTAGAATTTACCAGTGTGGCCTAGACAGCCCTGGATTCAATGCTTGGTTCTGCCACCTGAAAACACGGGGGCCTTGGACAAGCACCTTCACCTCTCCAAGCCTCAGTGCACCAGGTGCCACAGGGAAAGAATCACCCCTGGGCGGGGTGGTCAGGAGCTTCAGAGATGGCGTTCGTGCAGTGCCTGCCTCTCATTGACCTCCACAGGTAGCATGCTGACTGTTAGGATGTGAGGCTTCCACAGAATATAATCAAATTCTTTGACACTCTCCAACAGAGAGGAAAATGCCAGAGGCAGGAGAGTATTGCTTTTTCCTCCCACCAATTAGGTGAGTCTGAGTTCTTCATGCACATTTCGGTCCTGAATTCAAGAGACTGGAAATTCTATCTTACTTCTTTTCAACGCGCATGCCCAGGTCTAGTGGAACTTTTCAGGCAGATAACGGCCTCTAAAATGTGAGTACAGATGGGGCCCCAGAATGCTACCTGTGTCCGCCCTTGCAAAGGGAGATAAATACTGAATATTTTTCCATTGTAAACTTCTGTCTTCTTAAAAGGAAGTTGATGTGTTTTGATTAAAACTGTGACATTATTTTTTAAAAGGGAAAACATATTTTCTTTACTATTTTACTTCCATCCTGGCTTGTTTTCCCTGAGAGAGGTTGGTACTTTGGAGTAAAAGAAGGGTCTTAATCTGGTTTCTACTGCCACCTGCTGGGTATAGGCGGAACTACAACTGGCTTCTGGCCACCTTGCTGAGAAGACACCCACATGCCTCAGGCTAGGGAGGAGAAGGAGGAAATGCAAGGTCTCCATCAGTTACTGTGCTTGGAGAGTAGATGGAGGCAAAGCCTGCAGCCTAGGGCTTGGTGAAAGAGGTCACGGGGCACGCACAAAAGTCCCTATGCAGATTTACTGATACATGAAGAGCTCTGATCTTTAAGATGAATGTCAGATGATCTTGAAATATCATCACCACACTTGAGGAAGACAAAATAGTTCTCAGAGCAATAAAAAAAGAACAACTGAGTGTCTGTACTGAGTAGTGGTTAGGAGTAAGCTTTCTGAAGCCAGACTGCCTGGATTCACACCCAAGCTGTTGCTGATTATTGGGTGTGCAATGCCAGGCAAGTCACAACACTTCTGGGCATCAGCTTCCTCACCTGTAAAATGGAGAGGATTATAATGCCTACCCCACAGAGCTGCCATGGGAGCGCTGAGGGGAAACATACAAAGCACCCTGAACAGAGCCTGGACCTTAGTCAGCAGTGAGGACCGTGGCTGTTACCAGTGCACGAGGCAGGCTGCTACCATGGACACACTCCATAAGGATGCCCCAAACTGTGCATGAATCCAGCTCTGCACCCAGCTGGCTAAGCACCTTTAAGCAAGTTGTTCCCCCTCTTTTCCTCATCTGAAAGGCAAGACAATTAATGCCCATCCCACCAGCTTCCCAGGCTCTTATGTCGGCATCGTCCTTGTTCAAGAACAAAGCACCACCTACAAGGTCCCATCTGTACAGCATGCAGTCCTTACGGTTAAGATGGTTGGAGTCACAAACGCCCAGCAGACTTTCCAGAAAATGTTTGGCTGGAATCCGATCATCATCTCTATGTCTTCGCAGAATCTCTGCAAGCCTGTGAACAGACAAGTGGAGGCCGAGCATGAGGTGTGGTGGCAAGAAGGGGGAGGGGCAGCGCTAGAGGTGCCCTTGGCCAGAGTCAGCCCCAGCCTAGTGTCAACATGACCCCTATTATGTAGGAAATTATCAGACAAATGATTCAGTGCCAGGATGATTAGGAAAAAATGACATTTAAGAAGATATTAAATACTTTCCATGGTGATATGCAAAAATGTCCTCCCACGCTGACTTATCAAAGCTCAGGTCCTGCCCAAGTGTCACGGCACTGCCACACCCTGGCATAGTCACCTGTGTAGCCTTATGTGCTTAGCAACAACTCTGGCCAAACCAACTAAGATCATGGCCAATAAGCAGTGTATGATGAAAGCCTTGGGATTCAGGGTAAAAGCCCCTGTACATGGGTGGTTGTTTTTTGTCCCTCACCCTCCCAAGGACACCTTCCACAAGTCAGTTTATCTTTGCTCTGTGTGAGAGGATAATGTCAGACAAAGGCCCATGTAAATCCTAGTGGCCTTTGTCCACGTTGCTGAAACTCAAGGGACTGTGGCTTCTTGATCACTGATCAACTAAAGCCACATGCAGAGGTGACACTGGTCTCATGGCCACACATAACCCCACACACTCTTGGTTTAGAAAGGTATCTATACCACTCCTTGAAAGAAAAGGCCATTGAGAGATGTTTTCAAATCCAGCAAGTTCTTGCAAAATTGGTTTTTAAGGGGGGCAATTCGAGAATGAAGTGTTAACAGTGAATTTTTGCATTTCTTATCATTCTTATGGTTCTAGGGGCCTCATATATATAAATCTATATTGTGACATACTTATGCATTTCAGTTCTCTATGTTTTGAAACTTTATTTGCTATTTTTTATATCACTTCATATTATTATTGTTATTTTTAAAATTTCTTCCTCAGTACTCCTTTCGTTCTTTTATTTTTTTTTCTTTCATTGATGCCATGTTCTTTGGAAGCTTGATAAGAGCAAGTTACAGGCCTTTTAGGCATCCTCCACGTGAATAGTTCACTTTTTAAATAAGAATTATATGCCATGGTTGCGGGAGCATCAGGATTTTAGAGAAGCTTAGGTGGGGCATGACCAAAAAAAGGTTGGGAACCACTGGGCTAGACCCTCTGGGCATATGGGAGGGGTGAGAACCAATGGAGTAGAAGTTAAAGCTGTTTCTTTATTAACTCTGCCCCACAGAGGTCCTGAGACAAGCTTGGAATAAAGTGCTGCTCTGATGCATCTCTTAGGTAGCAGCAAGTAAGCCCTTTCGCTGTCTTACTAAATATGGAAACCTGCGTATCTACACTCAGCTCTACCACAGCAGCAGGCAGGATGGTTCCCTTACCGTACACATAGGAGATCCCCACGAGCTCAAAAATGGCAATGATGACGAGGGCATAGGAGGCAGCGTATGTGTCCACCAGCTGAAACATGTAAATCCCACCCTAGCAGGAAAGAGAAACAGTTGAGATCAATGGGCCTGGCTCAAGGCTCTGTCCCATTTCTAACAGGAGAGGAGAGTCAGGTGCAAACAGTCAAAGGATCTCCCCTCCCTAAAGCTGATCCAGCATGCAAACTGGAGGCCTTGCCATATTGGCAAAGCAACACCACCCCCCCACTCCCAGAGACTTGAAGCCCATCAACAGAAAAAGCACAGAAAGGGGCCTAACATCTTACTCTAAGAAGGTCAATATCAGCATCTGAAGACGTGCATGTGAGAGCAGCCGGGCCAGTTTGTTTTTACTTCAAGCAATCAATGAACATTTCTACCCATACACCTACATTTGGTTGACCTTCATATAACCTTGGGGTGCCTTCAGGCATTTCTCCTGCATCCTCCTGCATCGTGGCCTCACTCTGTAAGTCTCTCTACAATCCATGAGGCTGAAAGATCATCTCTTTCCAAGCCATCGTTTTACAGATGAAGAAACTGAGGCCCGAAGTGGTAACTCGCTCAGGGTTACACAGAGAGCAAAAGCAACACGTCCACTGAGTGAGCTAACACTCTGTGTCCCGAGGCCTCGGGCTAGAATGACCTCAAGTGGCTGTAGACACTTGTGTATGAGGAGTAAGCAACCGGACATTTCTCTGGTCAGTAAATTTGGGTTTTCTTAAAGTAGGACACACCTGCCTCGTTGGCTCAGGAAGGCTACATCTCAATTATGGAAGATGTAAGAAGTGCCATGAGTAGCCAAGGTGACATATTTCCCTCTGTGGTCAGAGTCCCCAATAGCCCAGGGCCATATGCACAGAAACACGAGTGACTTGGCTACTGTTATGAGAACTGAGCTCTAAGGGTGAAAGGACCGACAGCCACTGGGTCCCCACCCCCGTTACCTGAGTGATCATCGGAAAGCCCATGATGAAGAAGCAAATGCAGCAGCCCAGAGTGAAGACCGGCTTGTGGGTGCGCAGGTACTTGGGGAACTCGTCTGAGATGGAGGTCACTATGGTCTCGATGGTGGCAAACTGCAATGATGCCGGGAAAAGGGCGTCTGAGATAGACCACACCATCCCAAAGGTTCCATAAAGCCCTCTGTGCCTCCCACAGGGAACATGGTACCTGTACTGGGTTTGGCTTTTAGGACTGCCTACCCTTGAAGGCCCTGAAAGGCCGTGCTGGGCCCAGTCCACAAGGCCATGAGGGAATGCAAGCAGGATGTGAGCTCTAGACATTACCTCCAGCCCCTCAGAGCCTGCACTCATACTCACCCGACAGGGTAGCTGAAGCTGCACTTTGTATTCATGAGTTGTAAATCCTCCTCCAGTTTACCTGCATTTGATCTTCTGCTTGAGGAAAAACCCTCTTTGCACCCACCTCCTAACCTCTGAGCACCTGTCAGCATGATGGGTAATAGCCTCAGACCCAGAGCAATTCCACTAAAAGCGACTTGATATTATTCTCCCTTATCCTGCCCCTCAGAATTTCCTTTTGCAAAATGACACCAAAGTGGTAAATACGTTGGCTAAATCATGCACAGAAAGTGGAGCTAGGAATAAAGGAAGAGAGGGCCACTCTCTGGCACCATCTCACGAGTCCCCCACAAATGCAAGGTTATCCTGAGTCCTGGACAGGTAATTCACCATCTCTTCACAGCTTGAGAGAAAAATGCCACTAAGCCCATCCCCCACTGCAGGCAGGATGCAGGACCCAGGAGAAGGGCATCTTTGGAAGGACCCTGGGGCAGGGATGGAACGGGAGAGGGCTCACCATGGTGTCAAGTCCAAGAGTGAGGAGCATCAGGAAAAAGATGATGGCCCAGAACGGAGAGAGGGGCAGCCTGGTTAAGGCTTCCGGGTAAACCACAAATGCAATGCCTGGCCCTGGAAAAAACAAGACAAATGATTGCAGACAGACCCCCTCTTCCTGGAAGCCCACTGGGCCTTCTCTCCATGGAAATCCTGAATTGTTACTTATTTGCTGCTCCCATTGTTTTTTTGCTTGTTTGATTGGTTGGTTTACTTTACTCATTTCTACCCATTTTCCCATTAGATCTTAAGCTCCTTGAGGGGAAGAACCAGGTGAATTATGGTTGATATACTATAATTCACGAGCCACATGTGGCTCTTTGGCCCCTTGAGGGTGGCTCTTCCACAAAATACCATGGCCTGGGTGAGTCTATCGATATTTTGAAGAAGTGGCATTAGAAGTTTAAGTTTAAAAAATTTAGCTCTCAAAAGAAATTTCAATCGTTGTACTGTTGATATTTGGCTCTGTAGACTAATGAGTTTGCCAACCACTGCCCTAGAACAATGGTTCTCAACAAGAGGTGATTTTTGCCTCGAGGGGGACATTTGGCAACAGCTGGAGACATTTTTTAATTTCACAATGGGGGTGGTGGAGGATGATCACTGGCATTAGTGGGTTGAGGCCGGGGATGCTGTGAAGCATCCTTCACTTCATGGGGCATTCCCCACAAGAAAGAATTATCCAGCCCAAATGCCAATAGGGCTGAGGTTGAGAACCCTGTTCTAAAGGCTAAAACACACCCAGAATGGCTTCATTTCAGGAGAAGCCATTTACATAAAACATAAATCCATCTAACACAGTTCGGATCTTGCCCTACAAAGACTTGGGAATGATGGGGGTATGTCAGTCCACGGGGGGAAGGGGGTGGTGAAGCATAGTGTAAGGGTTAAGAAAGTTTGGGTTCTAATGGTCAGGCAGATACGGGTCCAAATACATACTCCATGACTTTCCAGCTGTGCAACCTAGACAAGTAATTTCATTTTTATTGAGCCTCAGTTTTGCCCATCTGGGCAATGGGAATAACAACAATACCTCGTAGGGGAAACCGATGAGAAAATGCAGGCAAAGCACAGAGACCAGTGCCTCACTTGCAGAATGTTAGCTTCCATTTCCAGTGAACAATGAACTTGGAAATCAGCATTTCTGATTCAGGTTTTTCCAAGGATGCCACAGGCTGTTGGTGGAGGACTCTGAGCTGCCGTTTTCTCTACCATCATAAAGCCCTGCCAGGGCTCCTATCCGCTTCGCAGCCTGGCTGAGAGGATTACTCTGACCCAGGATGGCTAATGATCAGCAGCTGTGAATTTAAGCCTAACCAATGGACACAGACAACAGGGGTGAGGGCATCCTGGGGGAAAGGGCATAGAGGTAATAGGGAAATAAAGACACATATGTAACACCGTAATCGATAGAGAAATTTTAAAAAAAGAAAACTCAATGATAATGGGCAGAGACAATGCCGGGGTAAAACACGTCTAAGAACTGGAAATCACAGCACCTGGAGTTTTTACAACTCGAGCCTAACAGCACTTTTAAACTGGAATTTATCGGGTTGTTTGTTCCAAACGATGCTGAGGGCATTGGGGTATTTAAAGCATAAAGCCCCGAAGGCCTCGGATACCCCGCTTTATATGTTTATTGAACACACAGCTGAGCCAGCCTCGGAAGGCTCCCTGTGTGAACCATAAAGGAAAAGGCTGTATTACACTTCGGCTCCAAATAGGTCTCCAATGGCAAACACTGAGGAAGCAGCAGCGCTCGGTGACAGCCGGGCCCATAAAGCGGGCAAAGGGTCTCGGAATGGCCCCGGTGGAGGCCGGGGGCTGATGGCTGTGGCAGGATCCAGCCCCTGGGGGTTACTGTTCTTTCAGGGTTAGAATGATTTCTTGTGCAGCCTTCTGCCTTCTCAGCGGCCTCCCTGTGGTACAAGGGAAGCATCATTTTCAGCAAACCTGTTCCTCCAAGAGGAACTTTGTAAAGTTCAGGTTTTGGTGTTTTTTTTTCTTGAAAGATGGATTGTATGAACCACAGTGGAGATTCCCCATATGAGATCCATTTGGGTTTTAACGACACGTACCCCCAAATTCCTTTCCTGGGGCAGAAAAGAACTCAAATGTTGGTCACAATGAACACGATAATGTCACAAAAATAACAAAACACATCAGGTCTGCCAGGGAGTGGGGCAGGGAGGGTCCTCTGCTGAGAGGGAATGAGGACAGTGGGGGTGGCACAGGCACCCCTGAAGACAGAGCCCTCTCTGCCTCTCTCGCCCTCCGTGCTCTCTGGGGAGCTGCAGGTTTCCCCCGGGGAGAGGCCTGGCTCAGCTCTGACCCAGGGCACTGTTGCAGAACTGCACACCTGCCCTCTGAAGCAGGCCCATCTTTAACTCTTTGAGGCCCGCAGTGCACCATCAGCACCACAGAGGCACTAATTATTTTTTAAAAATATATTTTTATTGATTTTTTACAGAGATGAAGGGAGAAAGATAGAGAGCCAAAAACATCGATGAGAGAGAAATACTGACCAGCTGCCTCCCGCACACCCCCTATCGGGGATGTGCCTGCAACCGACCAGCTGCCTCCCACACACCTCCTACTGGGGATGTGCCTGCAACCATCGTACATGCCCCTGACAGGAATCAAACCTGGGACCTTTCAGTCCGCAGACCGACGCTCTACCACTGAGCCAAACCGGTTTCGGCACGGAAGCACTAATTAATTACCCTTGAGGAGCCAGGAGAGACGGGCAGCCCACCAAGAAGGTGACACTTCCAGTTCTCTCGTGCTGGCACCTGAGCCACTGGCTGAGAACTGCAGTGAGCTCCTTGAAGAAAGATAAGTGCACGGCGAAGCTGCTCTGGGTTATGTAGGGCCATAGTCGGCAAACTGCAGCTCGCAAGCCACATGCAACTCTGTGGCCACTTGAGTGTGGCTCTTCCACAAAATACCATGGCCTGGGTGAGTCTATTTTGAAGTAGTGGTGTTAGAAGAAGTTTAAGTTTAAAAAATGTGGCTCTCAAAAGAAATTTCAATCGTTGTACTGTTGCTATTTGGCTCTGTGGACTAATGAGTTTGCCGACCACTGATCTAGGGCCACAGCCATGACCCTATAGCCCCTGGCATGGCCCCACCCTGAGGCATCCCCTAAAGATCTGATGAGAGAATGGTCATAATGATAAGCAATAGCCACAACGAAGTCCCTTAATCCCAAGAACCTTCATCTCCAATCACCCAAATTCTTTGAAGAACAAGGCTGGGTGGAAATCAAGAGTTAAAAAAAAAAAAATTAAACACACTCACTCTCTCTGCAAAATGCTGTGCTAGGAATATGAATTAAACAAGATAAAAATATAAGCTCTCTGCAAACTCAGAAGTGCCACACCAATGTTAGCCACGAACAGAGGATGGCTTGGGTGGAGAGTCAACATTTATTCTACGTCCCTCCCACCACCACCAGCCAACCTTTCCTCCCCCAACTGGGGAAAACTGCAGGTCTGTCCTGCTGACTAAGCAGAAAGCCCTGAGAGCACATGTGACCCAACAATAGGCAAATGCTTTGTCAGGAAAAGGCTGCTCTGAAGGCAATACTCTTGTGAGTCCTTAGCATTCAGTCCTGGCGTCCTCTGCAAGGGACACATCCTGCAGTCACCTCAGCCCCACTGGCTTCCCTAATGACTCCTAGACCCACACCCATCAGGGGCAACAGGGGAAACTTACTTAGGCTGGAGCTGAGGTCAGAGGGAAAAGGAAAAATGGAGCAGAGGAGAGGGGAGCAAGGCAGCACCTTTTATAGCGATCCCTCTAGCTAGGACCCAGCTAGCCCTGACCCTGTGTGAGCTTCTACTGGCGATATATCTCTGTCCCTCCACAAAGGGGAACCCAGGTGCCCAATTCCCGTCCTGTTCCAGAGGCCAACTTCCGAGCAGAGCATAACTTAGGTCTCCTGAGGCGAGCTCGGCACCTGTCCTGCAACAGTGGCTGACAGCGACACTGTACCTTGGTCCGCCACGTTCTCAATGTTGACCTTGCGCTCATTAGCCATGAAGCCAATGACTGAGAAGATGACGAAGCCGGCAAAGATGCTCGTGGCACTGTTGGTGCAGGTGACAATGAGAGTGTCCCTGGAGAAGAGATGAGAGTTGGTGGTTAGGTGTGCCTGGTGGGCAGGAAGAGGCAAGGGGGAGGACACAACGTGGGCACACGTGTCTGTGTGTACATGCTATTTACATACATGCATTTGCTGCAGGCTGGCCTTGTTGTCTTTATTCACAAGGACAGGGACAACCAGTCCTGACCACAGACTCCCTTGGGCTGAATTTATAAGCACCAAAGGCGCAAACAGATCTTCCCTAACTGCCCAGTCCTGGCGCCTCTGGCTCCACATGCTTCGAACTGACAGAGGCAAGTCTGTCCATCAGAGCAGAAATGGAGGGGGTGGGGCCTTTTGGGGACAGGAACCATGGATGAGAGAACGCAGTGGAACCATGAAATGCCACCAAAGTATGGTGACAACTGGATTGGGGCACCCTGGCTAAAAAGGCAAGGGCGAGCAGAGGGGAGAGAGACCAGCGCCCTCTGCTGGCAACAGGCTGCAGTTTCCCAGCCTGCCCTGCCCAGCCATCCTAGACTCAAGATGGAGCCTTCCACTCCGGTTTTAAATGGAGACCATGGCCCTGCCTCCCTCACAGCTGTTGTGAGGACAGGAGATGATTCCTGCATAGCATAGAGGCCAGCACAGGCAACTGCTCAGTAAACAACCCTCCTTGTCCGGCCCCTTAGTTCACTAATGAGGAAAGTGAAGCCCAGGGGAAAGTAATGGCTAATTAAGGGTAGGTCGGGATTTGATTCCAGACTCCCTGCCTCACTGCCCGTGTTCCTTCTGCCACTCCACACTGCCTCATCTCTAACAAAGCACAGAGCAATGCTTCCCCCTGGGACGATGTTCAGACTGATTCTCGGTTACAAGCTAGTGAACAGCAGTGGCCAAAGAAGTCTGTACACCATAGTCTGACACCACGGTTATGGGCCGAACTACATGCCCCTAAAATTCATATGTTGAATTCCTAACCCCAGGTTCCTTAGAATGTAACTGAATTTGGAGACAGGACATTAAACAAGCAATTAAGTTAAAAAGAAGTCATGAGGGCGGACCCTAGTCCAGTATGACTGGTGTCCTTATAAGAGGAGGAGATTAAGACACAGATACATGCACTGGGGGAGGACCATGGGAAGACACAGGGAGAAAACAGACATCTAAAAACCAAGGGGAGAGGTCTCAGCCTTGTCAACATCTTGATCTTGGACTGCCAGCCTCCAGAACTATGAGAAAATTCTGTGGTTGATGTCACGCACTATCGGTATTTGCTATGGCAGCCACAGCAGACTAATTCCAAAGGCTCTCTCCAGCCCCCTGTGCACACAGCATCAGCTCCAATCCCATTGCCCCGCCCCCTGTCCCTGTCACTCATTCCCACTCATCTCCACCTCTAACTGTCCTTGCCACCTGTAAAGATTTTCTCCTGCCTGCACTGTTGAAATTTGGCCCAGTCTAGATCTCACTCCTGTGAGGCCATCCCAGCCATCCTAGGCCACAGCTTAACTATAGCTGTTTCTTCAGGGTTCACAAAATATCCCATACTTTACTAAAACCTAGAGGCCCAGTACACGAAATTAGTGCACAGGGAAGGAGGGGTCCTTCAGTCGGGCCTTCACCCTCTTGCATTCCAGGACATCTTTCTCGCAATGTGGGACCATTGGCTCCTAACTACTCACCTGCATGCCTGCCTGATAGCCCCTAACCACTCTCCCTGCCTGCCTCATCACCCTTAGCCACTCACCTGCCTGCCTGCCTGCTGAGTGCCCCTAACCACTTGCCTGCTTGCCTGATCTTTTCTAACTGCTCACCTGCCTGCCTGATTGCCCCTAACCACTTCTGCCTCTGCCTCTGCCTCTGCCTCAGCCCCCACCGCCACAGCTTCATCCAGAAGGACATTCAAAAGATTATTCAGCTGTTGGGTCCAATTAGCATACTATGCTTTTATTATTATAGATAATAATAATAACTGCCATTTAGTGAACACCTACTATGTGCACAACATTGTTCTGAAAACTTTGCAAACATTATCTCTATTGCTCAACAAAATATAATTGAACTTTATAGATGAGACAGCAATGGTTCAGAGAAGTGGCATTCCTTGCCCACATCTTGGAGTTTTAGTAAATGGTCAAGAAATCTCAAATACAAGTCTGTCTGACTCCAAGATACATCCTTCTCTCCATCCTTCTTTCTTCCCTTCTTCCCCAACTCCCTCCTTTTCTTCTTTTTCCTCTCCCTCCCTCACTCCTTTTCTCCCCTCTATTCTTCTTTCCTCCTCCTTTCTTCCTTCTTTTTTTTCCTTTTTCAGCTCCCCAAGAGAATGGGCCTTATTTTCCTACTGCTTGTCATAACTTGTCTAACTTTCAATAAACATCATCTCCTGCAGGAACCGGTCAGGCTCTATTGGGGTGTTTGGGTTCCACGGCGTCCCTAACATCACACTATCCAAACGTCACCGTCCTTGACTCCCCTGAGGATCTTGCCTGGATCTTTAGGTTCCTGGGCCTGCCCACCTCCAGACATGCTGATGAATAGATCTTGGAGGGGGACTCAACATTTGCATTTTTTTCAGCTTCACTGAAGTATGGGTGACAGATAAAATTGTATTATATTAAAAGTGTACAATGTGATTATTAATATATATGTAGACATTGTCACAGGATCCCTATCATCGAGTTAATTAACACACGCATCACCAAGGTGCTCTTTTCTAATAGGGTCTCTAGAAAAACATCTGTAGAGTGACTGAATGACCAGACTTCACCAGTGACTTCCATACAGCTGGGCCCAGGGACTGGGCTGCTGACAGAACAACCATCACAGGACACGACTCCCTGCACACAGCCTACAGAGAGACTCTCCATCCCACATGCCAGGGTCAGCAGTGCAGTCGGGGTGCAGGCCACTGGAAGCCAGCAGCCAGGCCTGAGCAGGGTTCACCTGTGCCAGGGCAACTCTCTGGCTCTCCTCAGGTGCAGGATGAGGGTGTAGCCTCAGTCCATTTTCTGTCCCCAGACCCTAATGCCCCTCGCCAGCTGCCACTGGGACTCGAAAGGCTGCCCCGTACCTGTAGCAGTTGTTGTGGAATTTGTTGTAAGAAGAGAGCGTGATCAGGCCTCCCCAGGCAGCAGACAAAGAGAAGAAAATCTGAGTGGCAGCATCTTTCCACACCTAGCAGGCAAAAGAGGAGAAGGTCACTGAGCAGCTGACCCAGGCGGGGGCGTCTGCTTGGCCCCTGGCCTCACCCCTGCCCCAGGCGAAGGCGGTCGGGCACGAGGTGACTTCGGCATTGATGCAATGAGAAATCTCACTGGTGCCAGATGCCAAAAAGGCAGTGAGTTACCTGGCAGATTTCGGCTCCATTCTAACCAAAGGAGAGGAACTCAATAAACTACGCACATGTTCTATTTTCCATTTCCTCCCATGGAAAACTATACAGAAGGGAGAGTCCCTTCTTTAGCTGTAATCACTCTAAAAAAAAACAAACAATGTGCAACAGCAAGATATATGTTGGTGGATAAACAATATAAGCCTTTTAAAATTAACATTTCTACAGATTACAACTGCCATTAAAAATCTGAACTTCTGTGGCCCCTTTTGTAGCAAAGCTGTGTCTGCCACAGTGGAGGGGGTTTTATAAGCCATGAGTTTTTTTAACCTGGCTTGCATCGCTTCTTTGTTCTCCTGGTGATTTCTCTTAATTGTCCCCATAAAACTCCAGAAGGCCACTCAAGAGTGTGAGCTGGAGATTTACATGATTCGTATAATGGACCTGCCATCATTTTTTGTAAATTAAATCCAGTTTTTAAAATTGTGCTTAAAATACGCAAAGAGAAAGTTCAAAGCTGTGGGTTTTTTTTAAGGCAGCCACTTGTCCAGCTAAAGAACCACCTCCTCGCATCAAGGGGATATGCAGCTAGAAGAGGATGATCATAGCATTTAGTGTCCAGCCAAGGATGTGAAAATCAAGTGTGATGTGGGACTTCATGGGGTTCCATTCTTTTAAAGAGTGAGGGTCCTATCTCTACCCCTTTCCTTGCCCTTCTGTGCTACCTGGAATGCTTCTGTGATGGCTGGAACTCTGGCAGCCACAGATGGTGAGGCAGGAAGACGGGAGCCTGGGCCCCTGGTGACACCTGGAGCTGCCCAGCCAATGCTTGACTGTCTACCACGGGGCTGCTTCAGTGTATGCAAGTGAAGTCAACTTTTACCTGGGCGTTTCTGTTATGTGCAAACTCACTCCTATCTACGTGCTCTTCACATATTCTGGAAAAGCACATATTTCTTTAAGGTGAGAAAACTCACTTCTTAATACACAGCACCCTTCATGTGGAGGTTTGTTCTGGGAATCTGTGCAGAATATGCAAAGAGTAAGTACAAGTGTGTAAGGCTATAGCCCTGTGGCATGTGCTGCAAGTATTCAAATGCGTCTGGGCCCTTTAAAATAGAATTGCCTAAGTGCTATTATTTTCCAACCAGCAAAACTCCATCTATAATTAGTAACAGATAAGTGGTGTGAGGTGGCCCAAAGCTATTAAGGGGATTTCATTCTTCATTCCGGCCTCTGCTGCTACCCTAAATGTAGGACAACCATTCCTGGAATCTGAGGACTCCCAGTTGCCCACTTCTCATTAAGGATTTCCTGAGTGTGTGCCATTCCCAGATTAGCAGGACTTTGTCAATGGGACAGTGAGATGCCCTGTGGGAGGAGGTCTGACCCCTTCTGTCGAAGAGTGTCCCAGCTTGAGTCCCCTCCCCATGTGCCATCCCCCCAGTCTCCGCCCCTCCCCCCCCCCCCGACTTCCAGGTGTGTCATAAACAAAACCGTAAGCTCACCGTGGCATCCGTGAGCTTCTCCCACTTAGGTGTGATGAAGTACCAGATCCCATCGCCAGCTCCAGGCAGGGTGACCCCTCGGATGAGCAGGATCACGAGCACAACGTATGGGAACGTGGCCGTGAAGTAAACCACCTGGAAAAGCCATGCAACAGAGGACTGGGTGGGGCGGGCCTGCAGCGGGTGCCTGAGGAGCATCAGCAGAGGCAGGACACGAGTGCCCGATGGAGAGGGCATCGGGTAGTCTCCCCAAACTCTGCTGGGGCTGGGGATATGGGGAAGGCACTGGGACCAAAGGTGACCCAGAGGGAACCCAAAATAAAGTCTGTGAGAGGACACCCAAGTCTATGGGTGTGTCAGCCCCCAGTGAGGATAGCTATGGGAGATCTCACCCCACCCAGCAGCTGAGTGGACAGCTGCCTCCCTAACTCCTACCCTACCCACTGCTTGAGGCCCCGATTCCACCATTAGAGACTAATCCTTTTAGCTTAAGCTTCCCATCCTTATTCATAGATGCCCTATTGGGTGAAGGCCCCTGATCTGATGATCAGACACTTTCAGTTCAAATGGAATAGCATCCCTGGCGATGCTCTTCTGAGGAGCCATGAGAGCCTGGACGAGCTTCTGAGCCTCCTGAATCTCAGTTTCTGCCTCTGTAATAGGGACAAGGGCACCTTTCTTAAAAATAAGTGATTGGGAAGATCAAATGAACCTCAGCATAGTGTCTGATTTTTAATAGATGGTTATTAGGTACAACTAGCGTTCAACAAGCGTTCACCGAGGGCCTATATGAGCAGGGCACTATGCCAGGCATTAGATGCATGAGGATCCAGGGACTCATGACCTGGAAGACTCAGAGACAGCGTCCAAACAATGGGCTATACCATACACCCAAGACACGGTGACATCGGGGAGGGCACTGTGCTCAACCTGGTAGTTTATTAACAGGTTCATGGAGATGGTGCAGAAGCTGGATCTGGGAGGACAGTGAGGTGAGGAGAGGGGGAAGGCGAAAGAAGTGAGTGGGCAAGCAGATGTCTAAGGGCAAAGCTCCAATCACTGGTGGGACAAAATAAAATATTGAGGCTAAGAGTGATGAAGAACTCCTATGTTCTTCCTTCTCATTAATGCCCCTCCATGGACCATGTGATCACTCCACCTTACAGGAGGCCTTGACTAGCAGTTGAAGGATGTTCCCAGATTCTGGAGAGGAGGGAAGGGACAGAGTCAAAAAGCATTTGAGAAATAATAAGAGCAGAACTGGGGGGGGGGGGGGGGGGGGTTTGGATAGGGATGGGGATGCATGGGAGGTGCTTTCCTTCCTCATCTGTCAATCAAACCTGGGGATAGAGGAAGGGCCTGGGATCAGGACTTGGTAGATAAGAGAAGAGCAGGTGGTGAGACAGGTTCTACAGGCCTACATTCAAATCCCATCTCCTTCACTTATGAGCTGGGCTGCCTGAAGAAGTAACTTATCCTCTCTGAGTCTCAGTTTCCACACCTGCAAAGTGGTGATAACAGCAGCATGTTCCTCACTGGCGCTGCTGGGAGAGTACAATGGGGCACAGGCCTGGGGGCCCTCAAAATACAAGTGCCACTTGGTCTTGCCTGGGTCTCACCAGTCTTGATAACACTGACAACCTTCAGCTCACAGGCCAGTGGCCACCCAAAGGTGCCTTAAAAGACACCAGGAAGGCTGAAGTTGAGCTTCCATCCTGGCCCACCAAACCCTCTCTGATTCAGGGGTGGGCATGTACAACCATTCAGTGAGCACTGTTGGCTCAGAGCCACTCCAGTCCCACTTGCACCTTCCATCCTGGGCACCTGCCCTGGGAGGGAGACAGAGATCCCACCATGCACTGGCTGCTCAGGCTTTTGGGCCTGGCAAGGAGGCTCCAGGGTGGCAGAGACTGGCAGACACTGGGATCTCAGGGCTTGGGACAGATTTGGGTACTTGCAGGGAATGGGTTGGGGGTGGTGGTGAGATTAAGACATAACTCTTGGGATCATCTCACTAAGTATGTGGGGTAAACACAACAAAGACCCGTACCCTCAAATAGCTTACATTCCAGAACAGGAGACTAGCAACCAGTAGTAATCATAATACCATTCGTGGCATATTAGAAGGTGATGTGTGGAAAAGGAAAAAGTAGAGCAAAGCAAAGGGGTGGGACATGCAGGAGAGGCCTCATTGAAAAGCCCAGATTTGAAGGATGTGAAAGTGAGCCACTGGTATCTGGGAGAACACTGGAGCCTGGAACAGCTAGAGAGGCCCTGAGAAGGGACTGCACCTGATCCAGGAACAGCCAGGAGGCCAGAGTATCTGGGGCAGAGCACAGCAGGAGCAGCAGGCAGCAGGCAGAGGGCAGAGGGCAGAGGGCAGGAGAGGAGGGGGTGATGAGCAGGGGTGGGGGCGGAAACAGGAGGGTCAGATCCTGTAGAGCCTTTACTGGGTGGGGAATGGGAGCTGCAGCAGGAATTTGGGCAGAGGGGTGACCTGCTCTAACACTTGAACCACACCTGGTGGCTCGGTGGCAAATACACTGCGGGCACCAGGGCAGAAGCAGGGGCCGCTGTTGGAGGCCATGGCTGTAATCCAGGCAGGGAAGGACTATGGTTCCAACCAGAGTGTTTTGCAGGAGCTAGGAGAAATGTTTTGCAGGGTGAGCCAACAGGATGTTTTGACCCATTTAATGCAGAATGAGGGGCAGGAAGCGGGGAGGCAAGAATGACCCCAAAATGTTTGTCCTCAGCAACTGAAAGGGTGGTGTTGCCATTAGCAGAAATGGGGCAGGATGCAGGTTAAGGAAAACAAGTTATTTCTTCCTCCAAACCCAGTTACTCATCAAGGCCAACCTATTTCATTCTGGCTAGACCGGGGAAGTGCTGGTCTCCTTTCTCTGCACAGCTACCTCTCCTAACCTCTTCCCTTGCTCCCCTCCCTCCACCCTCCACCATCCACGGAAGTCACACCTCCCTCCTGCCTAGAGCTCAGGGATTGCTAAGGGCTTGGGGGACACAGGTTCTCCCTCCTCTTCTTGCCAAACCTGCTTCTCTCCTTCCTCTTAAGGAAGCCTTTCTACACAGAAGTTGTTATGAAACCAAAGGCATCTGACATCTCAGGGGAAGACTGACCTCCCGACCCCACCTGGGGGGCACCTCCTGACCATGTGGGGCTGATGGGAGTGAGGATGAATGAGGCAAAGGAAAGGACATGACCCAGACAGCAAGGGGCAGGAAGAAAACCCCAAGACTGGTACCTATCTAACAGGCAGAGACAACCCTTCCCATTTCACTACCAGAGAGTATACGAACATGACCCCCTCTGTGGACCGGCTATTAGTATCCCCATTTTGCTCAAGAGGAAACTGAGGCTCAGGTTCTGTCTCACAAGGGGTTAAGTATCTCACTCAAGGTCCCCCAGCTGGAGCCAAGATACAAACTTGAAGCTTTCTAACTCCTATGTTCTTCCTTCCCATTGATAACCCTCCATGGACCACATGATCAGAAACATGAGGCAGGGCCAGGGTTAAGAAGAGGCCAGGCGAGTGAGGCGACGAGAGTCCAAAATTTAAGGAGGCACCCACTCTAAGGGTCCAACTGGCACCTGCAGGAACCTGAGAATGAGGGCCGCCTTAAATGTCAAACCTTAAGCACTTGCTTGCCTCACCCAGGTCTGGGCCCAAGGTGTGTGGGAGGATGCTCACTCTGTGAATCACTCTTTAGATCATGATCTTGCTGAAATAAAAGGGCCTGCAGTTTGGCTTATAAATCCTGGGCACGCCTAAGTGTGAGTCAGGTGAGCGTGGGGGCTTTGTGCCCACTGGTCCCCTGTGCCAGGGCAGCTTCAGAAGGTACGTGTTTCAAAAAGTACTGTCAGAGGAATTAAACTTGAACTAATGAGTTACACTTGGTAGGAGTGGCAATGACTGGTTGGTCTGAGCCTGCTGACTGACACCTGGCCGCAGCCTCCTCACCCTTTGGAGCCCTGAACAGGTGGTCAGGTGAGCCACCACCCCCCCCCCCCCCCCCGTCCCCGGGACTAGCTAATTAGGTTAGTGCTGTTAGCCCCTGAGGAGAAGGAGGGCATACTGCTTAGAGATGGCAGTGTTCGTGGAATTTCAGTCACAAAGGAGCTCTGGCTGTATTTGATCTTCAGGCTGCCCGCTGGTCACCCTTGCCTGTGGAATTCTAGCTGCTCAAAAGGAAGTGTGAGCCCTGGCTCAGGGTGGTGTGGCCCAAGAGGTTGAGCTGTGTCCCATGCACCAAAAGGTCACTGGTTAGATTAACAGACAGGGCACACACCCAGGTTGCAGGCTCAGTAGAGGGCAGGCATGCAGGACACAATCAATGTTTCTCATCCACATTTCTTTCTCTCTCTCTTCCCTTCCTCTTCCCTCCCTTCCTCCATCACACCTTCCTTCCCTCCCTTCTTCCTCCCCTCTCCCTTCCTCTATCTCTAAAATCAATAAAAACGTATTTTTTAAAATTAAAGAAGGGGATCTCATAGGAAGCACTGAGCCAACCTTGTCTCCAGGGCGCTGAGCAAGAGGAACTGAGCTCATCTCCCTGCAGGAGAAGGAGGACATCGCTGCTTAGCAATGGCCTGTTCATGGAATTTGAGTCACAGAGAAGCTGGGATAATGAGAGGCCTTAGCCGCCATTCACCCAGGATTCCATGGTTAACATCTGCATGCTCCCGGGCAGTGTCATCACTTCTGATGGTGACTGATCATCAATTCCTAGTTGGCAGCCTTTCTCAAAGAAGCAGATCTAAAAGGAAAACTACTCAAAAAGCCCATACCATCTACCACCAAGGGCTACATTCTAAATGGGGAGAGGCCGTGGCTATCATGTCCTAAACCGTCACAAAGAACAGTGTGACTCGAGCATGTCCTGAGGGTCCAGACTCCCTGCCTTCATGTCTTGAGCTTGGAGTGGGAATCCCATCACCTCCAAAGGGCCAGCCGACGACAGCGCAGCAAGTCGCCAAGTATTTTGCTCAACCCAGATCCCTCGGCGGGACTGTCGGTGTTGGTGCTGGGGGCACACAGGGCACCGGGGCACATGGGTTGGAGGTTGGAAGAAGGGCATGAAGGGCTGAGAGTGTGGTGGTCGGGTGGAGAAGAAGGGGTCCCTTCACAATTTTGATCTTTTCCCAGCATCTTGGTAGCAGCAGTCACAGCCTGGCAGCCAGACCAAGAGGCAAAAGGCCAGCAGCACTCGTCTAGCTCAGGAGAGTGACAGAGCCACATCAGGGAGGGCCACCTGCTGAACAGAACGGCAGCCCCGACAGAAAGGAAGGAACCTCCCCATAGTGCCCTCAGGAGCTCTGTACACATCTGTCTCATTTAAGCCTTAAAACAGCCCTGAATGACAGGTGTCATTGTCCCGTTTTACAGGCAGGAGTCAAGTCACTCCTGAGGCCCGCAGCTACCCGGGGCCAGATTCTGAGCAGCACCCACGTCTCGGGACTCTCCTTCCAGTGCTCTTGGACCTGCTCGTGACATAGTCCCCGTCTCCCCCCTCCCCCCGCCCTGAGTGTCCCAGAGCTTTCTCATAGGTAAACCCATTTCTTACTTTTCCTGAAGACTTGATTCCTTTTGCCAGAGACGCATACACAATGACCCAAGCCAGGAATAGGCAGAAGGCTAGTGGCCACCTGATCTCCCCAGGATATTCGATCCCCGCAGAAATCTTCAGCACAAAGTACCTGTGAGTGGGCGAGAGGAAGGAGAGGGGTGAGAGTCTTCTGGATCTAATCTCCCAGCAGAGCCAGCAGCCTCAAGCCAGCTCGGCAACCGTACCCCCATCAGGGATCTGACCAGATCAGGTTGTGAGGGACTCTCTGACCCGGGCTGTCTGCAGAGACCAATAGATTCGACCCTGCTCTTCACTATGTGCTGGGGAGGCCACATATGGCCCCGGGGAAGGCTCCATACAAGACTGTCAGCGCCACCGTCACCATGAGATGCCCCAGGAGGACAACAAATCCCATGGCATTTGGGGGTCCAAGCACAACTCTCCCCACCCACCCCCCCAATGGCCTTACCAAGGGTGATGTCTTCACAGAAGGCCACATCACAAACAGAAACGCTAAACTGTCCAGGATGGCTTTGGTGTGTTTTCTCTGTTGTTTTACTCTTATATGAGAATCCATCCCAATAGTGTTTATCTCGTTTTAAATGTAAAAAGTCAGGGTCTGTATGTGCTGAAGTCACCACCTGCCTGGAGACCCCATGTCCCTGGCAGTAGCCGGGAGACTGGCCAAGGGTGGGCAAGCAGCTTCCCCCTTGGGGAGGGGAGGCAGCTATAGGACAGTGAGTTCTAGTAAGAGTCGAACCATCCCTGCAAATTCGAAGCAATCCTGTCACGCCTCCTGGATGAGGGGCTGTGTTGGGTGGTTGGTGGTTTCCTGTGACCTGAGCAAAGGCCCGGCCAGAACCCAGATTCGATGGGACTGCAGACATGACAGCCCAGAGCTTTCTGAAGGCAGCAGCACAGCCCCGCCCCCGCTCCCCCTGCCCTGCCCCCCGAGTGAACACCTGATAGGCTGTTTGCAAGGCCTCGCCACACTTTTCTGAACAGGAGTGGCCATGTGACAGAGCCTATTTCAGTCTCAATGTCTGAGGCAACCTGGGCTCAAGAGCTTAGGGAGCCCTAGCCGGCTTGGCTCAGTGGATAGAGAGTCCGCCTGTGAACTGAAGGATCCTGGGTTTGATTCTGGTCAGGGGCACATGTCCAAGTTGGGGGTTCCGTTCCTGATGGGGAGTGTGCAGGAGGCAGCCGGTCAGTGTTTTGTTTTTTTGTTTTTTTCTCTCATCATTGATGTTTCTGTTTCTTTCCCTCTTCCTTCCCCTCTGAAATAAATAAAAATATATATATATTTTTAAAGAGTTTAGGGGAAGTGACCAAAAGTGGAAGTGAACTGGGCTCCCAGACCTTCCCTGAGCAATGAAAGGACCTCCCCATGTTCAAGGGTAAAGCACTTAATAACACTGCACCTCGGCCACCCGAAACACTCCACCCTTTAAAAAGAGCTTGTGGATGAAGCTCCTAATATCATGTCCTCTTGGAAAGGAAGACTGGTCCCAGAGGACTAGTGACAGCCTCAGAAAGCTGATTCACAGATATTTAACCAGACTTAACCCCGTGGGTTATGTGGTCAGCCCTCCTCTAACCACCAGGCAGACTCCGTTTCTCAGTGCTCAGGGTGAGTCCACACACACCCTCCCTGCTCCTGTATCATCTGCAAAGGGATTATTTCCTCTCAGCCTCACTCCCCCTTCTGTCTGCCTCGACGGGGACAAGCACAGAAGAGAAATCTGATGCAGAAATTGACGGCAACCAGGCAACTAGTAGAGATATTATTGAGCACTTTTTATCACAACCCAGGGCCCCACTGATACTGCATTTTATTTTATTTTATTTTATTTTATGTTATGTTATTTTGTTTTATTTAGTTCGCTAACATTTAAAGTGCGAGACACATAGCAATTTGGACTTTACCTCCGACTTCACCTGTAACATGGAAGCTTAGCTGCACTGCTCACAGATAGGGTTGTGAAGCTGAGCACCAGCAGCCGTCCTTGCTCTTGGCTGACATCCTGCCCAGTTGGCCCCAGGCCCAACCCTTCTCTATCCTCCTGCTCATCTGTACTTTGCTCACTAGCCTGGTGAGCAGGCAAACGCCCTGCCAATGCCCTGAGCACACAAGTGGACAACCCCCAACTTGAGGCCTAACTAGAGAACATGCTTCAGGTACCCTCTGCTGGGACGATGCCTGCATTGACCTCCCTTACAAAATAACTCCATGAATCGACTAAATCATCCTGTAGGGGCCGAGGATTTTCCAGGGTCCCTGGACATCAATCCTCAGCATCTCTCAATACTCATGTAGAAAGTGCAAAACTGGGTGAAAGCGTTCTTTAAAAATTATTTCGTTCTTTACATCCTTGACCATGACTTGGTTCCTGACGTTTGGCCTCTTTCCTTCTCAAATGCAGAAGAAAAAAGCAACAACTAGTCAACGGAAGTTCTGCTTAGATCACAGTGCATGCAGGTTTTTGCAAAGTGTGTGTCACATCATGGTACAGCAGCAGCAGCAGCAGCAATTCTGTCCCCACCAGCACTCTGCCAACTCTCACCTCCAGGCCCAGAAGCCAAACCCCGGGACAGCCTCTTCCTCGGTGATCAATCTAATGGGAAGGGAGGGCATAGAGGGAGGCAGCCCATCCCTCAGGCCCCCACACCTCCTTCTGCAAGTCCGTTCATGCACTCACTGGGGGTCTCTTAGAAAGTAACACAGAGCCCTCTTACTTGAAGTACTCTTCGCTGCCACTGACAAACGTCTTATTGGCCTGGCTGGTGAAATTAACCATGGTCAAGTTGGGATAGGCGGTCATGCAGAAGGTCGAGTTCTTGATCTGGATTTTGGGATGCTCAGCGATGACGCAGGAATCTGTAGGAGAGGACAGGATGGAAACACGGTGGCGCCTATGCGGAAAATACACCCATATATCGTAGCAATTGAAAACCAAAAGCCAAAAAGATGTGCCAGATATTGAAGAGTAACTTTAGGAAAGTGTTAGCTGAACCAACCTAGATGGAGATGAACTGCAGAATTACCTTTTATGTGTCACAGACCCCAGAACCCTGATCCGCACAGATAACAGTGGCTCTCATTTATAGACACTCCCTGTGTGTTCGGTACGCGCTGCGCTGAGCACTTTATGCTTTGCAGCATTATCTCATGTAACGCTCACAACAGCCTATGTGGTGAGTACTCATACCACTGTTTTTAAATTGAGGTAAAGGCTCTACGAGGTAAGTAACTCCTTAAATCATACAGCTAATGAGGAAGAGAATCGGTACTCAACCCAGGTCCTCAGAACTCCACAGAAAGTAAATGACTTGCAGAGATGAATTAGACATAAGCAAACCTCCTGAAGAGTTGCTGCCATAGAAGGCTTACTTATCCATTCACCTTGAACCCACAGCCTGCCAAGATGGAATGACACATAGCACGGACATATGACATTGTTTCCTACACACCCACACGGGCTATTGGAGGCAGCAACCATGCGTGTGCTTGCGAGCCTGCAGCAGGACCTAACCCAGGGGTTCCCTGGGGGTGAATTTGTTAGTGCCCAATGTCTCCTGCAAAAGCCCCTGGAGCTGAGAACCACTGCTCTTAGCGTCCTCAAAATGCCTTCTTATTCACTATTTTGTTCTTTAGTCTAATCAAATAGAGAGTTGCAAGGGGTCTCCGAACTAATGGAAGCATCTGCTCCCCCAGCAGTAACCTGAATGCAGACACTTAAAGCACCATCCATCCACATCCCTTTTCCCTCCCTAAACACAGTATTTATCTCTTGGCCTCCTGCCCAAAAATGCACCCATCCCCTAAGACTGAAGAGATCCCTAACATGCGGGCAAATCCAAAACTGCTTGTTTCCCAAAGTGCCATTATGAAGCTCAAGCTAGCGGGGAGCTTCTCGCTTCGCCAGCATCTTGTCTAGATCATCCCTGCTGCCTGCAGTACCAGGTCACGTGCTCCTGCGGCACTGCACCAGGGCTCCCGGCAGCCTCTGCAATACTCCGTCTCACCGCCAGATGGCAGAAGCGTGCTTCCGCGCCGTCAGGTCGGGCTCGAGCCTTCAGAGAGCTCTGCGGCCCAGCAACCCTGAACAAAGAGCGGCGATAATGATCATTCTAAATTGGAAGCTGTTGGAAAGGGATTCTCTTTACTCGGGCAATTATTAATAAATGAAAGCACATGAAAGGCTAGGGAGAAAAGGAGTCATTTAATTAAAGTTCTAATGAACATTAGGCCATTCCAGAAATAGAAATGGTATTTATGTGGTTTCCGTTTTAAATGGCCCAGCTAAGCCTCCTAATTTCACAGCACAGTCGCTGGTCTCACTTGGCAGGGCATGGATTATCCGTGTTCCATTACAGATACCTGGATGGTCCCCCTAAGGAAGACCGTCTTCCTTACAAAATACACCTTCGAGACGTGTGGCAAATGGCTTCTACTCATGGACAGGGGGAGGTCGGGTCTCTGGGGCTGGTGTGGGTACCCGGTCCCAGCATCTGGATGGCGAGGCAGGGCTCCTGGGCAATGCGTCCCTAGCAATGCTGAGAGAGACCTGAGGTAAATACCTCCCTGCCATGGCTGAAGGTCACAACAGCAGCGATTCATCCCCTCTCTCCTGGGAGGGGCTGCTGCTATCACAGGGTAGGTAGAGTGGTTACAGGGTTTGGAGGAGAGGGTGAGCTTGGGAGGTTATTTGTGGAACACTGCATCCTGGAAGAAGTTGTTCTGTTTTCTCTCTCAGAGTGGCCTTTTGGGAGAGAGCCTGAGATACCCTTTGTCTGGACTCTCGACTTGTCCATCAGAGCAGTGGGGCTCTGAAGCCCCCTGTGTCTCTGCAAGTCAGACCATCATCATCTTTCTAAGTCACCCCAGGACCCCAAAGGACCAATACTACTTCTGCCTACTACATGTATAGATGACATAGAAGAACAGATAGGGGGTACACACACACACACACACACACACACACACACACACGCTTGCTTTTTAACAAACAAGTGAAAAAATTCAAGAATGAGATAAGGTCTGCCCAACCTGTCCATATGCTCCCAGGAATAATCAATGGGAAATGTTCATTGTATCTCTGCTGAGAGCTTACATGGGTTTTCTGGTTTGTACAGTCCACCAGGAGCCTAGCTGTGCAGTGTTTTTTACTCTGCCTTTAAAGTTTCCTAAGTATTGTGAGCCAGACCAGGAACTCTACAAACCCAGAGATACCCCCATCTATGTGCCCTGGCCTAGTCTATGTGCTCAGCTTGCTTTAAACAAAAACAAAAACACACACACATGCATACACATACAGGACTATCCTATATAATAAAAGTCTAATATGCTAAGAGTCCAGTTGTCCATTCAACCAATCAAAGCATAATATGTTAATGATATGCTAAGACCACTCAACCACTCACTATGAAGTGCACTGACCACAAGGTGGGCAGACACTCCAACCAGTAGGTTAGCTTGCTGCTGGGGTCCGGCCAATAGGGACTGAGTGAGATGGGCTGGACACTCCATGGAGCCCTCCTGCATTCCCTCTTTGGTCCCAATCATGCATGAGTGGGGTCCCTCCGCCTGGCCTGCCCCCTCTTGTAATCTGGGACCACTCAGGGGATGTCGGAGCGCTGGTTTCAGCCCAATCCTGCAGGCCAGGGCGAGGGACTCTACTAGTGCACAAATTCGTGCACCAGGCCTTTAATAAAATAAACACATGTCCATGGCAGATAATGAAGAAAAGAAAGAACGTCCCCAAATGTGCCAGTGAACAAATTGTGTATCATCTTCCTGTGTTTTCTATCCATGCATATTTTCTTAAGAATAATAAAAGTACACTATAAATCTAAATCCTGTTTTTACATTTAACACAATACGATGAGGATGTCTCCATATTTTATGAATATTCATTTTTAATAGAAAACTTCATCGTATGGATGCACTATAATTTATTGGAACCATGAAGTTATCCAGTAATTGCTAAATTTTTATGTGTGTTTCTGGTGTTTTTCCAAGACTGGAAATGTGCAATGAACAATCATGTATAGTCCTTTACTGTGTCTCTGACTCAGAAAAGCTTCCTTTTTACCCCATAGAACCTCAGCTACAAATAGGTAGGGAACATCCTGCAGGATTGAGGGAGTAGAAACCCCTGGGACTTTTCAGTAACCCTGGCTGAGCAGAGGATCAGGGGTCATGAGACCCAAACCCCAGTGCTGGCTGGACCTTGTGACTCACAGCCTGACACCCTCATTCTCTGAGCCTTCAAGTCCACCTTCTCACCTACAAAACAGTGATCCTGTTACCTGCCTCTTGGAACTCTTGGGCACTTATTACAAATAGCAGAGCCATCTTTTATGAAGCTACTTTGTGGATTAGGAAGCATTTAGCATGGTAGTTAGGACCAGGGTCTTGGGAGGCAGGTACTTGGTTCAAACCCCAGATCTACCACAGAGCTAGCTCTATGACCTTGAGCTCCAGTTTTTATCAACTTTGAAGTGAAAGTAATATTGGAAGCCATATGTTGGTTTATTGTTCATGTTAACATTGGTAATACGAGTAAAAGGGTTTAACAAGGTGCTTGGCATGTAGTAAGTGATGCTGGGTATTATCATTAAGTATTAAGGTACTGCACCAATATCGGTGGATATTGTTAGCAGAGAAGAAAGGTGTTGCTGAACTACTATCCCTCCTAGGGGACAGCTGCAGGCACAGATCACTATGGTCCCTGAGGGAAGTCCCCAGGGGAGCAGACACTGAATCAAGGCAGCAGCCCTCCTCCAGCGGGCACTCTCCTCCCTGGCACAACCTGGAGGGAACAAGCTGGGCTCTGGCATGACGTTGAGGTATTTCTCCATTCCAGGCCCCACATCCTGAGAGATGCCCTTTGCCTACCATGGCCACCACCTTCAGGGAGCCCTCTGGCAGCTGGGTGTTGATTGTGAATCTAGGAACAGCTGCCCAGGGGAATTCTCTCAGACAGCAGCTTTTGCAGAGGCGACCACCAGGATGTGGGCAAACTGCACCTTAGTGCTCCTACTCTTGGGTGTACCCAGGGAACCTTAACAATACAGACTCCTCGGCTCTATCCCCAGGTCACCTGAATCCATTGGGCTGGCATGGACACTAGTGATGTTCAATTTGTTAGTTCCCTGGGTGAATTTTATTTATTGCTATATCCCAAGCACCTGGAGTAGTGCCTGGTACACAGTAGGTATGCAAGCAATGTGCAGCAGCTCGGTTAGAAAACCACTGCTCAACCCTAAGAATACGTCAACATGGAGATTACATAGATGAGGACACTGAGACCCAGAGAGTCTAAGAGACACTTACTCCTGCTCACACCATTAATGAGCCCCACAAATCCCCATCTCCAGGTCTGAGCACATCCAGGTGCACAGGGTTTGAATTTCATAAACACTCTGGTTTTCACTCTTCTCCAGTCTTACCTCAAAGCCTCTGCCAGAGGAGCTTGCCAGGTAAGCATGTACGTGATCACATGTGTGAAAATGCTCTTGTGTGAACAACTGTATGTGCCTCTATCAGGAGGGGTGGGAGGGAAGGATGCACCTTCTCTCTTAAACACATCCCAAGGTTTAAATAACATCTGAGTTCTGCAAGGGCAAAAGAGCTAATTTGGGGGCCAGCAATAAGAGCCAATCTATAGAGATCACAAGATTCTGCCCTCAGCACAGTCCAGCTTAAGGAAAATGACATCACCCAGGGAGAAGATACCACTTGTATACGGGCCTGTTAAAAGGACCAGAGCCTTCATAGGTGACTGATAGAAACTGCACCTTCTGTTTGTGGAACTTTATACTTTTCAGCTGCCATCATCATATTCTTTCATTTCTTTTCTCCTTATCACAATCCCAGGAGGTGAGCAGGATGAAGGACATTGTTACTGTTTGTTTTGCAAATGAAGAAAACTCAGACTCAGAGGAGAGAAGTTATGTGGACGGGATATACTTATCCTTGGGGCTAGGATGTTTTATGGACCAGAAGCCTTGCCCACGAACCAGTCTGTGACTCCTCACACTTACTACTCACCCTTGACCCAATAGGCTGGCTGCTCCCAAGTCCTCATGTGCTGTTGTTTGAAACCCTAGAAACACTCTCTAGTCTCCCAGGCAGAATTCCTCTCTTCTACTATTACATTGTGCACATTTCTACTAAGGGTTTTTGTTGAAGTGTCTGTTTCCATATGAGCAGTATTTTGTAAAGTGTAGACCCAGAATCACTTGTATCAATCACTTCCCTAGGCTCTTGGACCTCATTGCTTTTCAAATTGTACTATGCATACAAGTCACCTCGGGACCTTGCTAAAATGCAAATTTCCCAACTCTCCCCACCCCAAATCTAATAAATCAGACTCTAGTGGGCCTGCAAATCTGCATTTTTTTTTTTAAACAAACACTCCAGCTATTCCTGAGCACACAAAAAATTGTATTACCCCTTTCTAGGCCATGAGATCCTTATATATTAGATTTAAGTATATTTGGTGTTGTTTTTTTAAATCTCTGTGCCCCCAGCACCTAGCCTAAGGCAGGCAAACATAATATGTGCTTAGTTAATCTTCATTGAATGAATGAATGAATGAATGAGTGAGTGAATTAATGAGTACTTCACCTAATGTAGGTATATTCAAACTTACCTAATAAAAGTCTGGTTTTATCTTTGCATTCTGGCGTGTTCCAAGGGTTGTTGCAGGAACCCCAGGGCAGCACAGCCACAAAGGAGGCAAACAGGTAGAAAAGTGTGTAGCAAATAATCACGTTGTAGTATATGGCTATTAGGACGGAGATGATCAGCATTGCAATGCCACAGCCTGTGGAAGCAAAATTCCCAGGGATTCATTTCATCCCACATTCTACAGAATCCTTTCAGTGGGGCCCGGGCAGAGACAGATCTGGTTCTCTTGCACAGAGGAAAAGACTCATAGTGGTGACCTTTGTGTTGACAAAGGGCATCGAGGCAATCTGCCAGGAATGGGACATGCCAAAAGTGATCATGGGCCATTCTTTAGTGGGACTCAGAGGTGGTATTGGTCAAATAGAGAAGGAAGGAATGAGTTCTATTGATCACCAAAGCAGGTCTCCCTCCCTGTGGCTGGAGAGAGCAGTGTGAGGTGGAGGAGGCTGAGAGTCAGGGGGACTCACCTTGCAGGGCTGGGATGGCCTTCCACACAGACACTGGCCCCTGGCTGGCAAACTGACCCAGCGACACTTCTAAGAAGAAGATGGGTAACCCAGCCAGAGCCAGCATCATCAGGTAGGGGATGAGGAAAGCACCTTAGGAAGAGAGAACGGGAAGTGAGAGGGCTGGGAGGCCAAGGCTGGGCTGGGCCCACTTTCCCCCTCCTTTTCCAGAGAGCTTTTGATGACCTAGCTCAACCACAGGCACCCAGGGACATTAAAGACATTTCACCCTTGTAAAAAATACAAAGGTTCCCTGAAAGCACACTCCTTTTTTTTTCAATTCCCCACTGGATGAGTTGCTAGGATTATATGCTGGCTGGATTTTAGTCTTTTTTTTTTTTTTTAATTGTAGTGTTTCAGTGTCCCAAAATTAAGCCCTTCTTGTGTTTCGTAAGTCCATACCTTTGACTCATTGCTGAAATCAGATTTGGTGAAATCTCCCCATCTCTACAGCACCCCCACCCTCCAAGGACTTACATCTGGAAAATGAGACTTTGGGAGCCCTCCTTGGCTTACAACCCGATTTACCTAGTTACCTGCACACCTTCTCTCAGCCACGAGGGCCTGCTTTGGCAGACAGGTGGCCAGGTGCCCATTTCTCTCCCACCACCGAAGCCATCACACACTTCTCAACTTCCCTCTCCACATAGGAAGTCCCTTCCATTCTCCAAGGACAACTCAAATGCTTCCTCCTCCAAGAAATCTCCCTTGTCTCTCTTCTCCCCTCCTTCTTCCCCCCAGCCCTGAGCACTTGACAGTATTTATGTGGGTATCTCATCTAGACTATGGCTTTCTTTCCCTTGGAAGATTCTGTGGGGTTTTATTGAAGGCTTGGGGAATACCCATGATCTCTGAAAAGGTTTGGGCCAGGAAGCACTGTGGCATGGGTCAGGCCAATTCCAGGACTAGTGGTGACAGAGCTCAGAACACGGTGCCCAACGGAATGAAGCTGATCCTTCCTAAGGCCTTCTTTCTGTTCACCCTCCTCCCAACTTCCTGTCTGGAGGAAAGACCTTTCCTGTCACAGGGGCATCCCCGAGAGATTCTCCAGGCCAGGAAGGACCGGTGGCAGGCACAGCACTGGGCTGCTGAGGATTAAAATTAGGGGTCATGATGTGCAATCCTCTTCTGTTCCTGGGAAGGAGGCAGCGAGCTCTGCACCCCGCGCTGAGGGCTTCAGAGCCTGGAGCCGCATTGCGGAAAAGTGGGGCTCTCCTCGTGCCTGGCTGGGTGTGCAGCTCTGCAGCTCCGGAACCTGGGCGTGTGCTCTGCCCCATAGTTTGCAGATCCAGGGCTAGCAAAGCCCGGGCAGGTTCACTGATCAAACTGGAATTCTGTCCCTATGCAATCCTCTGTACCCACTGCCCTTCCTGTCACTGAAAGCTTTATTAGAGCACCTTCCTTTCACTCGGTTCCTGCACCCTGGTCTAGGAATTCCCTGAGAAAACAGCGGAAACCTGGAAACCTGGAAAACGGCTGTGGTGCCCTTATTTGGGTGGCCACACACATTTTTTTTTTTTCCGGTTTCCAGGGCACCCTGATTGCAAACGTGCTGTGATCCTCATCACTACTCGTCAGCTTGTCCTAATTTGGAATTGGGAGGAGGGGCATTAACATATTTTTCCCTTTCAATTGCCCTGTGTCCATTGTTCCTTTGCACCAAATTCCGCCTGGAGCCCATCCAAGAAGCAAAAACAAAACACCAACAAACAGAACAGAACAAAATTTAAGCTGCCTGACCTGATGGGGTGAGAGTCAAATTTAAACAGCTGTGGGAGTGAGTTCCAGGTGCAAATTCCTAATGTAACGACCAGCAGTGGGGGGGCAGCCACTGGCCCTGGGCACCTCAAGCCAGGGATGTGGTGTCCCTCCTTCAAGGGCACAGAGAGGTACAGCAGATCCCAGAGGCCTGGCAGCTCATGCTTGCTCACTGGTGTCCTCGCCCTTTCAGCAATGCTTGTCTTTCAAAAGCATTTCCTACCCAGTTAGGGCAAATGAAAGGAATCATTTGACTACATGATTTTGCTATTCAAACTGTGCCTCTGTGTCCAAGGGGTCGTATGTGTGGGGATACTTCTGAGAGGGTTTTCAGAGCACAGCTCCTAGCCCCTCTCTGCTCACACCTGGTTCACCAGCAGCCAGCGTCCAGTACCACCTAGGTGCCCATTCCCAAGGTTTTCCGCGTAGGATGGGATTTCCAAGTTATACTCTTAAAGCATCCTGAATTTGGTGTCCAGCACTACACAGAGTCTGAACTTCCCCGCATCAATGCCCACTTGGCTCAGGACCCAGACCCCCTCCCCACAGAATCAGTGGGGAATCATGCGGGCCCACCTCTTCCCCAAACTCTCTCCAGGTAACAGCCTCTGGGATCTGGGGTGAAACAGTGCCTGAAGCTCCTGCCCTCTGGCTTAACCCTGTTGCCTCAGGGGCTGAGGCTGGAGTGTGAGAAGGTTGTTCTGAGCCTCCCCTCGGGGCCATCCTAGGGTCTGGGTCCCTCCCCCAACCCCCAATGCCCACCCCACAGCGCCACAGGCGGAAAGACTGGAAAAGCCATACCTCCCCCGTTCTGGAAGGCCAGGTAGGGAAACCTCCAGACATTGCCCAGCCCCACTGCATACCCCACCATGGACAGGATGAAGTCCAGTTTGCTGGACCAGTTCCCTCGGGCCTTATTCTCATCCCCTTGCTCGTCCTCCTGGGGGCGGAAAAGCACATTGTCGGATAACAGCCCCGGGTTGGTCAGCAAGCAGGTCCCCTTCTAGCCCCTCCTCCGCCTCCCCTGCTGAGGGTCTTTCCCAGCAAGCAGGCCCCCACTTTTCAACCAAGGATGCATCAGCAAGCAGGACCCCAATTCCAAAGAGGGAATGCATCTACAAGCAGGAACCTCATCCCTCAACTCTACACAGAGAGACTTTCAGCAAGCAGGCTCCCAACCCTGATCTGAGATCCATCTTAAACAACCCCTGAGCCCCTCTTGCCCAAATCCTGCAGTCAGGACACACCAGCAAGCAGCTTTCCCCAAACCTTGAACGAATTGATTGATCGCAAGCAGATCCCTCCATCCCCAACCCCTGACCAAGAGTTCATTAGGCAAGCAGGGCCCCAATATCATGCCCAGAGTCTCCAGCAAGCAGGTCCCTAACCAACCCACCCCTCCCTGCCCAAAACTCTCAACACACCCCCTCTCCAGCTCTTTCTCCCTCTGGAGCTTATGCTAAGGCCAGAGAGAGAACTGCAATGCCTGAAGCCAGCCAGAGCCCCTGCCTCCCTTTCTCTGCCAAAGCCTGCAGGCAGACTCTACCTGGTTGGTTAATTTAGAGGAGGGGATACTTTCGGCATGGGGGACGGGAGTAAGGGAGATGAGCAGGAGGGAGATGTGTGGGTTAAAAAGGGGGGATAATAGAGAAGCAGATATGGTAAGAGATAGGACACTTAACACCTTGAATTCTGGTCTAAATATCACCATTAACCAGCTATATAGTCCCCCAAGCTTCTCTCTGAGCCTCTGTGTCCACATCTGTAAAATGAGGGGCTTAGAACAGCTCTTCCCTGAGCACCTTCCAGCTCCTCTGCAAACTCACACTGAGATGTTTTTGGAGGGAGCCATACCTGATTCTAGAATGTCTAATTACTAAGCAGAAAAATCACCTCAACTAAAACTCTGAAAATGTTCAGGACACCAGACACCCCATAAAGCTTCTAGGACCCAGCCACTGCATGGCTTTCATCTCCTCAGTCACCATCCACCTCTGTCCTAGCAACCCAGGATGTCCCACCCTGGTCCACAGATCAAGGAGGATGAAAAGCAGCTGTCAGGAGAAGTCGAGGGGAGAAAGGCAGGCTGAGGTGGGTGTCATAAAGGTAACAACAGAAAGATGGGCAGAGCTAAAAACAGGCAAATGCAGGGCTTGATCTATACTGAACATTTTAACCTCCCCTTGCATTCCTCCCCACACGTACTAGCCCCACCCCCACCTCCACCTCCTGTTCTTCCAGAGCTGGAAGGGTGGGAGTTCCAGCGGCTTTTGCCGCAGTGCGGAGGTTAAGAAGACACGACAAGCAAAATTCTGCCTCCATCTGGGGTTACACTGGTGGGCACATGCTGCCAGAGGCAGTTCATACACACAGATGGACACTCCAGAGTGGCCCCCCCCAAAACAAGAGCCAAAGTGTGTGTTCATTTCTAGTTACTCTAACAGCTGACTCCTGCTGCATGGATCTGTGTGTGTGTGTGTGTGTGTGTGTGTGTGTGTGTAGAGAGAGAGAGAGAGAGAGAGAGAGAGAGAGAGAGAGAGAGAGAGAGAGAGAGAGAACACTAGAGTGACTACAAACAGAAGGGCTATATAAATCCAAAATATCTCATCCAGATGGATGTTCTGGTTTAGGGACCCACCACAGCTTACGTGCCTAGCCCCTGAGCCCAGGGAGGGGAGGAGATAGAAGAAAGGCAGGAAGGGAGGAGCTGAAGGAGGTGGAATGGGACAGAGCAAAGAAGAGAGCAGGGGAAGGAGAGAGGCTGAGAGAAACTGGAAGATGATGAAGCCTGTGTGGGAGAAGGGACCACCGGTCATAGTTGCTTATCTTTCACCCAGGATTGGGGTTTGCTCTGTGGGTTTTTCATGCCTCTGGTTGAGCATAAAGAATCAAAATGCAGAGCTAGTTCCAGGTTTGTGGAGCCTGAAGCTTATACAATTGAGGGAAGAAACCATATAAAATTATGATGACAAAATTGGGTACCAGATTTATTTTATTTTAATTATTTTTGGAAAAGCCTTGAAACTTAAGTTTCGGGAGCAGGCTCCTGTAAACCCAACTCTCATCAAATGAGCTCTCACGTGATAAAGGGAAACTCACAGTGAAAAGGCTACAAAGCTTAAATGAGCATTTCCTCCGGGTTTTTCTTCTTTATTTAATTAAGAAAAACAATTAAAGACCCAGTTATTGGCAAGTGGGGGTTGTCTTCGTCAGGGGGTAGGAATGTATCTGCCTCAATTGCTTAATCAGGCTGCACCCGGTTTCTGCTCCCACTGAGGCTGGGAAGAGACAGGGAGCTGCAGGTCCTGAGGTCTATGCCTGGGGCAGAGTCACTACAGCCGCTGCCCCGCCCTGAACCGGAGACCCCAGCGCAGTGCCAGCTTCCGAAGCCCCAAAAGCTGCCCTCAGCACCCGTTACCTGACACTGCCAATCAGTCTCCGCATCAGCACACGTGCACCCGCCCCTACCCGCTTCCCTGGCGCGCCTGGGGAGCAGGAGGCTTGCGCGGGGCCGAGAGCAACCTGCTTACCTGGGCGGCAGTGGTCGCCACGCTGCCAGGCAGCACAGACGTGATTCCATCCGTGCCCAGCACCACGGTGCTCTGGCTCATATTCACCCAGCCCACGGCCGGGGTGTTGTTCCGCTCCAGGGTGCCTTTGCCCACACTCACGTCCGCATCCTCCTCGGGGCCCCGGAGGGCCTGGATCTTACAAGGCATCGCATTCCCGGGCCCTGCGCCCGCAGCAGGGGTAGCCTGCGCGCCATGAGCCTCGCTCAAATCCCGCAAAACCGCGGACGGGGCTGGCGGCCTCGGCTTTTGGCTACTGAGTTTGCAAGCCCCCAGCCCCTGGCGTTCGGCCTCGCAGGCTCCTGCATCGAGGAACTGGAAAGTTTGGGCGCCGGTGGAAGCCGATCTGGGCACACTGGGCGGCGTGGCTGAGGCTGCAGGAAGGTCCTGCTCCGGGCTGGTCCTGGGCGCGCATGAACCCTCGTGGTGGCCCAGCGCCGCTGCCGCCTCCAGGCTGCTGGCTGGTGGTTTATTCATTTCCTTGGGAGCACCGCAATCCTGCAAATACAAGGTGAAATTCGTGCAAAAAAAAAAAAAATTCAAGGCAGCTTTGAAATGAACCTGTGTCTACCTATAGAGATGTTCTCAGCTCAGCTCCAAAACACAGTATCTGAGGAACAAATTGAAATCTGGATTTTTTTTCTTTCCTTTTCCAAGAAAAACTGCAGTCAGTATTTTTTCAATTTGCCTGTCTGGTCAATAACCAGATGACACGAGGAAGCTAACATTCTCCTCCCTGACTGAGTAGAACTAGGAAAAGAGGCAGAACTAGCTTGTTGGAGTGTAAAGGGGAGGAGGGTGGAAATAGCCCTACAGTCACGAACTCCCCGCCCTCTTTGGATTTCACATCACGGCTGTAGGGCCCTTGTCCCCATCGCCATTGTAGAGAGATTCTTTAATTTTCCGCCCCATTTCCTTTGTCATTCAACAATGCACATTGCCTCTTTTTTTTCCTTCCCATAAGCCATAGACAAGCTGCGGCCACAAAGCTGATGCCCTGGCACCTGCGGGGATTTCAGGCCAAATCATTTGTGCGAATCCCACTGATCCAAAATCCCCCCTGCCCGCCAGGTAGCAAAGGCAGGGAGAGCAACAACAACCCAACAACAATGACAAACCACATTTAAAACACCAGACGGTAGCCAGGTTTGTTATCTTACACAATCTACATTCTCTCCCAGCTTCCCAGACATGTAAAAGAACATGCAAAGTGCCAGCCTCCAACCCAGAATACCTATACACAGAAGTCTGATAACCTTCACAGCCCTACACCTGCATGCGGACCAAAACTCATGACTATTTTTCATTTGCTTTCTCCCAACTGAGTTTCAAATGAGAAGAACTACCAGCGGCGGTTTTTCCGTCGGCTTTCTTCCTTCTCGTTATCTTTCAAGGATCCCTCAACGTTAGTACCAGAAATCGTTACTATACCGTGAGAATAATCGTATTATTGTCAGCTCATCCACACACCTCTTATCAAGTCTTCTCGCACAAGTGCACATTGCAGAACTCCTTAATTTGCACCAGTCTAAAGTACCTTGATTCCAGCAAGCGTTCTTATCTCAGCTTCTAGGACCCAGAGCGACTAGCCTCCTACCAGCATCTGATTTCAGCACCAAGGACAGTGCCGAGAATCCGCAGGGTGAGGGACCGCGACAACCGCTCAGCTCCATACCTTCAGAAACCTCTTAGACCTCAGCTGATGTTCACAAGTGCAAATACTACGGCTGTGACAACCGTCATCCCTCCTTCTTTCAAAATGTACAGAACGTTTCAAAAAGAAGTATTCAAAAACGAATCTGCTCCTCCTCACCCCGCAGCCCTCTCTCTTAAAAGAACAACAAAAAAAGCCAACACTCACCATGTTTGACATCACCGGCAGCAGACTGAATAGGTAGAGGGAGTGAAACCAGCTACCCACAAGACTGGTTTCCAACCCAGCAAGAGAGGAGCTTTCTATATCTCCTTAGGAAAGGCGAGGCGGTTTGCGTCAGTGCAAAGCAAGGTGCCCTTCGTCTGACATTTTCTTGATAATACAAGTTTGATAAATCATTACCCCCATGGATTCGAATTTTAAAGGGACAACAGCCGTGAGTACGCTGGCCCGTTGCTGTCACTCGGGAGGGAGGGGGGCTGCGTGTTCAGCGTGACTCATGTGGGTCTGATTACTAAACCGAAGCCAGCAAGAGGAGGAGACAGAAGTTTGCCTCTCCCTAATTAAGGAAAACATGGGAAGGGACACGTCCCACTGCACCCAAGGCGAGACGCAGAGCGGATTGGGCTGCCGAGGTGGGCGCTGGGGAAAGAGTTAAATCACCATCATGTTCCCATCTTTCTCTGCTACTACACCCGTAGCTGCCTCTCCAAATCTGCAAGCAGAGGATTCCGCAATATTAACCCCCCCCCCAAAAAAAAAAACACACAAAAAAAACGATTGAGGGTCTGCTCGTAGCACCACAGCTCTGCGATGGCTGCCACATAATGTCGGCTGCTCGGATAAGGGTACTCACCTGCGTGTATGGGGACTTAGAGTCTCACAGCCCTACCCTTCCAGACGACCAGTGTTAGAGGGATCCTGGACTTCCGCTTAAAAATTGAGGTCTACCATTTGCATTCCTGTTTTATCTCTATTGGTACAACAGAAATCCTAGTGTAAAAATTACGATTGCCCTCAATGGATTTGTTAAGTTCCCTCTGGAAATATTTTAGAGAAATAAAAAGGAAAGTATCTTCAACACCGACCTGGTTCTTAGGTCACTTTAAAAGTCAAAGGAGACTTTTTTCTTCTTAGCCCTCTCAAAAAAAATTCAGCGCAGCGAGGCCTGGTTTGGAAGCGGGAGGTCTTAGACACCCTCAGAACCAGGGTCCGGGCTGGCCATCCCGGAAGCCATGGGAAGCTGTGCTGCCCTACTCCGATGAGGGTGAGGGTGGTCGTGGAGATAAAAAGAGGGATTTTCCTTTGGGTGCAAAAACACCTTTTTACAAAGAAGGTGTAGTTTGGAGAGTGGAAGAGGATTCGTAGGTAAACCGCTTCCCCTCCCTCTTTCCTGAGGGCCTGGTTTGGGTAACCTCTGCCCTCTCCCCCTCCGTCCCCCCCCCCCCCCCCCATGGGGAGCTACAGAAAGCACTCAGCCCCTTCCCCGAATCTAGCCTTGGGGTCGGCGCGTTTGCACGGGCTGGGCCATCCCCACGCGGCGGGAGGGCAATGCCCAGGGCGGGGAAAGCTGCTGCAGCAGATTGTGGTGGGAGCCTGGGGCGCTGTGCAGGCCCCTCCCTCCACTTTCCAGGGGCTCGCCGGCCGGCGTTCCCACGCCAGGCTCCCAGGCTCTCCCGCCTGCGGGGGCCTCTGATGGAAGAAGGCTGGGGATCCTGGTCCGCACCGATATTGAAGAAGGACAGATTCCCTGAAGAGACCCTCCTTGAGAGCTGCCTTGCGGGTTCCAGGCCGCGTTGATCGCAGTTTTGAGTTAACATTTACTAAGTCCTCAGCATTGAACCACTGTGCAAGAGCTTTCCATGAATTGACTCATTTCGTATTGACAACAACCTTTCCCCAGTTTTAAACCTGGGGAAACGGAAATTCATAAAATCTCCCCATGATCCTAGAAAATCTCCCAACCCCTTTCCCAGGGCTGGGCCGGGTGGGGAGAGAAGCACCTAATTCTCCCCGGAGACCCGCTCCGTCGCGAAGGACACCAGGCTAGTGAGAGAGACCCGGTGGGTCTGGTGGGTTTTGGCTTCGGAAGGTCAGGGCCGCAAGCGGAGCCAAGAAGCCCTGGGGCGTGAGCTTGTGCTCACTGGGTGGGCGCGGGGAAACACCCGGGACTCTGGGAGCCACTGGGAAACCTGGGGAGAGGGGGCTTCCTTCAAAACAGATCCCCCGTTTTCATGGAGCCAAACCAGGACGCGAGAACGTGGAGGGGCGGAGGCGCACCCCCTCTCCAAGCTCCGCGGTTCCTGGGCCAACTTCCACCAGTCACGACTACGAAAAGTTCTGGCCAGTTTCCTCAGTTTGCATCTGAGCCACTCCCGCGCCATGCCGCGTGATCGCTGAGCTCCCACCCAGCTCGTCCACCCTCTGGGCGCACAGATGTCCCAGGCCGGCGCCCCCGGAACGGGGAGAACGCCCCCAGCTGTGACTCTAGGTCCCAGTGACGCCACTCCCCACTCAGTCCCCAGGCCTGACGTTGAGCCTGCAGGCCCTCCCCAGCCAAGTGCGCACTTGGTTTCCTGCGTGAGGCCCTGGCTGGTCAGAGGTGGCTGACGCAGGAGGAACACAGCCGCCGAGGGAAGGGGAGGGCTTTGGCAGAAGCTCAGCTTTGGCTCCCTCCCTCCCCCGCGTCTAGCCGCAAGGTTCTGGAAAGGAGGGGCTACAGGGAGAGTGGTGGGAGGGTTTAGAGCCAGCAGCCCTAGGAAGGTCGTGCTGAATCCAGAGCGGGGGCGGGGGACGGGCACCCCGCGGGGCCGCAGGGTAGGGTTGGACGACTGGAGGGGGCGTGCTGGCGCGGGAGGCCAGGGACAGCTCAGGCACAGGGCTGTGAGTCCCTGTTCGGTAAGTGCCAAGGATGGAGCCTCAGTGTTAGAATAAAAGGCTCAAGTCGTCCGGATGCGGGGCCCCGCACCCCGTCCCCCCTCTCTCCCGCCCCCCCCCCCCCCACACACACACATAGGGCCGCCTGTTTGGAGTGATAATCCGCCCGGCCGGTGCACCACTGTCTCTGCCGCCGAGGAGGCCATAAATCCGCATCCATCACTGCGCAGCCATTCGGGCGGAATTAGCAGTCACTATGGCCTTAATTACTTTGTCAAAGATGAAAAATAGTAATTGATTTTGCCCTCGATCTCTCCCCCCCCCCCCTTTGTAGATAAGAAAATAAATAGCTATTTTTGAAAACCCGTGTCCACCCTTAAGTATGGAGGGGGAAGAGGTAGTCTATTGAAACACAGGTCCTCAGTGGCAGCCCTGACGCCAGTGTCTGTCCCAAGACAGGAAAGGAGAGCGGTGAGGCGAGAGAGCAGGAGAGGGCCTGAAGGGCAGACTTTGGCATTCATGATGCTGACCTCCTCCGCACTAGGGAAGAGGAGAGGACAGAGAGAAAAAGGTACTTGATCAGCTCCTGCTCTGGTGTGGATGAGTGCTTGCAGCAGCGATAAAGAACTGCTAGAAAGAGCTGCAGGGCCAGGTTGACAGAAAAGCCAGGAAACCTGCCTAAGGTCAACCCCAGAGTCAGGATTTGAGCCCAGGCCTCTGTTGATTTCATTCCATCCCACCCAGCAGATTTAATGTGAGCACCTACCTGTGGTTTTGATGTGGGAGCCATAAACACCAAAAGCCTTTACAGCTAACGGATGTCAGGCCACTATGTGGGGTGAGGATGGTATTGTCAAGAAGCCATGCAGTATTTTTGTTCCACTTGCCCACCACTGCCCAGTTCCATTGCAGTGTGGTTTCCTACTGCAGCACACCACCCCCTAGTTCTGTGACCACAAGGGATATTCTTGATCTATAAAAGGAGGATAATAAGATTAACCTACCTCAAGAGTTGTTCAAGGATTAAATGAGATATGTATGTATGTAAAGTGCCTAGACTGAGGCTGGCTGCTTTCCATAAGCAAACATTATTATTCAGTCTGGGAGAATCATCTGTTCGAAGCTCCTCAGATTTAGCAAATAAAACAGTTCTTTCTCCTTGGTGCAGAAGGTTTAATATGGGGAGGCATGCACAGAAGAGAAAGCCTTACTCATTGTGCAACATTTCTCCTCCTTATTCAGGGGTTTGGACAGGCAATTATCAAGTATGCATGTTCATTAAAAGAAAATAGGAAGCATTCTGAAAAAGTGCTCAAACACAGAGGCTGCTACGAGTGTGTTCTCAGGCACCTTTTGTTTAGATCAAGGTAAACCTAAACATAAACGACAGAAGCTCGGGGCTTTGCAACCAGCTGCATTTTCCATTTCTCATCTGAACCCTGGTGTCAGGGAGACAAACTAATCAAGACAAGCTTCCCTCGCTGTGGCATTTCAGAAGAGTTCATACTTGGAAATCAGTGATTCAGCTTAGTACCAAGTCTGCGTGCAGAAAATGTACATCCAAAATCCCGAGACTGAGACAGGCAGGATGCGTGTCCCTGAGTCAGCAGTAGTGATGATCCTCACTTCACTGCAGCAAAACACAGAACAGTGGGTGGAGGCACAGAAGCAGAGACGTTTAGAATAAGCTGCAAAGGACAGTCAAGGTTATCTGCTTTAAGAGTGAGAAAACAGAGGTCCAGAGAAGGAAACTGAGTCTGCAAGGTCACTTGTAAGTTATAAACAGTCTAGCAGCAGCTCTTCCTTAAAAAGTAAAGAGAGAAAAGAACTATGCTATCCTTTGATCCAGCAGTCCCACTTTTAGGAATCTATCCCAGTGGCACAGTGCAAGAATGTTTATTATGACATAGTTGATAAATGAAAGCCTAGGTGAAGAATATCCATATTAGGTCAGAATATCTAAAGCATGGGGTGATCTGCAGCTGCTAAAAGAATAATTTAGAGCAGGGGTGGTCTGGCCTTGCCAAGGCATTAGGGGTGAGTTAATTAAATATTTGACCAAATAGAGCAGGCTAATTTTTATGTTGATAATTTTGTATGACCCGGGAATGATGTTATAAATATCCAAACGGTCCTTGGCAGAAAAAAAAAAAAAAAAAAGTTCCCCACCCCTGATTTAGAGCCACACAGTTGGCTTGGACAGATTTTAATGAAATATTGAATAAGAAAAGCCAGATGCATTAAGGTGTGTATAAGTATGATTCCAGGATGTGTGTGTATATTGTGTGTGAGAGAAAGAGATCCAATAAATAGTGAAAGCACACACATTAGGA